GTTGATTTATTCACGTTACATAGCTTAAAGTGAATGGACTGTTCCTTATAAACAGTTAACGATAATCTTGCTAGTTTATGATGGAGACATTAACTATCGATTAAAAGAGAATTCATTTCAAGGTTCAAAATATAAAGTTATGTTAAAGGCAAATATTGCGGAATCTTCTGTACAAATTTCTAAAATTAAGAAACAAATGACGCGGCAACAATTTAAGCTTTTTACAATATAGTTTGCATTCAACTGCAAATTTCAAAATCGTGACTGTATCACATACCGAGTACGTGGAAAATTTCTAGGTTCAAAATATTAAACTAATAAAGTGTATCTATTACACAGATCTATGAACAGTTTTTACAACTTATAACGAATGACAAATTAACCTTTAAGATCCATTTAACAGCATAAATACAGTGACACATACGAGAATACAGGCTTACTGGGCTGATTTTATTTAGGTATAGTTAAAAGTTTACTTGAGAGTTAATGTGCTCTGCACTTAAAAGCTTTTTCTGGCTACAAACAACTATTTTCTCTCTATATAATTAAACATAACATTGTATACTCTTCCCTTGTTTTTAACAGTAGAGTGCAAATCATTTCTTAAACTTTCCATTAAGAGACAATCAACTGAATCTGTCTTCCAAATATTTTTAACTAGCGACCCGCGCCCCGGCTTCGCACAAGTGCAATGTATTGTACATATAAACCTTGAATCACTCTATCCAGTAAAGCGCATCAAGATCCGTTGCTTGGTTTTAAAGATCTAAGCATACATAGGGACAGACAGACAGCGGGACGACTTTGTTTTATACTATGTAGTGACTACAAAATCTTTCAAAATCTGTCAAAATCAGAAAATAAATATTTAAAATTTGACAAAATAGGTACCACGATTAAGAGTTTTAACACAGCTATATTATTCAGTGTCATGACACCAAACACATGTTTAAACTTTAGACTATCGATAATTTCGACATCCAATAGAGTCAAAACTTAACCTAAAACGGCAGTTATAATATACTGTAGTTGCATATTTTATTGTACAAAACCTAAACAAGTATGTAAAAAAGATTACTTCAGTTGTAGTTAATAAAAAAATGAAAGGGGAAAATATCCCAATTTCTTCGTACGATAATATTGATAGCAGACAGACATCACAATTTAGCTGCTTGGTGACTGTCAGGGGGCCAGTACGAAATATATACTTTGAGTACGCTGTAATGAATAACGTGTACAGTTAGGAACGCGTTAAACTAGTAGGGCGGAGGCGTCAACAGTCCAGACCGGACTAGAACGCGTCAGAACATCACGCCGCGCACCGCTGCCCTTCAATTCTTCACTCACCCATTTCCGTCAAAATGTATACGTAGATATTATTATAAAACTTTATTATAATGTATATATATATATATATATATATATATATATATATATATATATATATCCGGAGAGTAATTTTAAGCACCTTTATAATTTTTCATACATATGAACTAAAAACGTAGTGACTTTCATAACTCTAATTTGATCTGAAAATATCGTTACCCGTTATTTACCATAAACTTGAAAAGCAAGAAGAATATTAAAAAAAAAAAACAAATAATATAGCCAGAACTATACTGAAAATTACTGAGTAGTAAACTACGTAGTTGTAGAAATATCGAAATCAAGATTTAGCAACCCAAATATTAATGGAGATCGCAATCGTTTAATTACAAATATTTATAGCTTTTAGGAACGCTAAGGTGGCGCTATTAAAGTATCGGTATTTTTATAGTCAGTTTTATAATTTCATCGCTCAGCCATCCAAGGTTTATTACGAAGAAATTGATTTTGAAATATATATTTTGGCTTTAAGAACGTCCGTCACCTATGCGCCTCTCTTTTAACTTATCCATCTGAATCTTGATACATCATGTGCTTGCTTAAAAGGATTTCATTGCCATTTCAATCACATTTAATGATTAATTAAAAATGACGGTACAGTTCGCTAATAATCTAATCTGATTATATGTCGTCATATGTGCATTAAGAGCTATGATAGGTCATTGTCTGGGCGCTCACTTTTAATTCAATATAGTTGAGAAACTAAAGTTCGATTCCCTTTGCCGGCACAAACAAAATTGTTAATTTTAAGTGCTACATTACCATGTGCACCAGCGGTGAAGGAAAAAATTGTGAGGAAATCTGCATACACTCGAAATAATAACAAAACAAAAATATTTCGGCGATGGGGTCGCGGGGTCGCGTTGTTTAACGGTGGTAGGGCCACGCAACAGTCTTCTCTTTTGCAAGAATTGGCAGGACCGTCCGTACATACTTGAAAATGTATTCATAAAAATAAGAATGAATTTTTAAGAGACATGAATGTGCATGATATAAATATTTACTAGGAACAAACAAAAAAAATATTTTACCCACATTTAGACCGCGTGAAATAAATATTTATTTTATGGGACCATGTAAACGTTCTTACAACAAAATCCCAGAAAACCTTCAAAATACACACAGATTATATCACTTTCTAAATTCCAAAAAATTGTAAAGAAACGTTTGTGTGATAAAGGCTTTTATAATATTAGTGATAAAACACCCTGGACATAAATATTCGCTCTAGGCTCTTTCAAATGAAATTTGGTTATATGTTGGTTCTAGGTTGGATCTTGGATTCCCGACACACCCTAAAAGAAATACATCTAAAAGAAAATGTATATTGATTGAAATATTTATTTGTTATGCGACAAGGTGGAAAGTAAGAAAGCGAAAGTGGTTATCGCAGCCTAAATATATCAAACATTCCTGTGAGCTTACTCTTTAAAACCAACACTTTAAAAGTTGACGCCGCTTCACCTCCTCATTCAGCAAACGAAACGCAAAAGTTTGCGTTCCACCGCAAAAGCCACTTCACACCGGTCTTCTGTGAGGCCGTGATACTTCCGGATAACCCGACCCATAATATGTGCGGCAGGAGAAACATCAGTGTGACTATACCATGACACGTGAGTTTTAACTTCGGGGAGACAAGTCAAGTAATAAAGTAGAAGCTGTATGAGGACCTAACAATTGAAAATATGAACTTCGTTTCCTATAGACATTTCCGATATAATTTCTGAAATTATGGCAATTCGCAAAATAAACGAAATTTTAGATAAAATCAAATTATAAAACAATTCATCTATCGATAGTCATTTTTTTAATCTACCACAGGTTCCTCTAACGGAAAAGAAACAGGCGAAAGAAACTCCGTAGGTATCCTCTTTTTTTGTCATTTTTTTCTCAAACAAAAATACATTCTTATACAGTATAGAAGATTGAAGTTAAAACAATTAATTACCAGGACTATTCTATAAATTACAAGTTTCTGCGTTTAACTACGTCTGTGTTTTATCTTCGATAATAAGTAGGTGTGAGTACTTTTTACATCGTTTATTTCATTCCCACGCTGTCCATCATCCAACATCTAATTTGTCCCTTTTTTCTAGAAGTAATTTAACAGCGTCGAGTTAAATTAGTTGTTTTTATAGTAGCTAAACATTTTTGTTCTATGTGAGAAGATTATTTTGTTTGCACACCGCCAAATTACTAACAATATAGGTAGGTACCAATAGGTAGGTATTGTGTCTATATTCATGTCGTAAATATTTTAAAAATAACATAATTATAATTGTTATGAATGAAGCGGTTCATCTCATTTGTTTATTATTTGTAGTAACTTGTAATTCTTAAATGTAGAAAATAGTCATTGCAATTCTTAATTCTCTAGTGAATTAAAAATTACAATCCTGTAAGAATAAAACAAAGTGGACCAATGTAATAATGAAATTGTTTTGACTAACAATACCTTGAATAGCCCGTTACTATTCAACACTAAGTTGTTGATATAAACTGGCAAGTTTTACACTTAACCAAACACAAACCAAGCGATGAAAATGAATTGACGACAGTTTGATTGATCGCTATTCTGGATTGTTGGGTTTTTAGCAAAGATGAAGTGCCATTATTGCTATGTGTATAGAGCCATGGTCTGGCAAAAGAGTTTTTTTGGATAAAACTCCAATTATAGTTTATTTAGAAAATACGTTTACTTTCAAGTAAGAATATAAATATTCCAAATTTCCCTTTACATTTTTTACGAACTATGCTAGGGTTGTAAATAATGGATCTGCGTTAGGAACGATTTCATGAGAAGATTCTTATACGATTACAAATGTCAACTAAAACAGGACGGATCGTTTGATATAGTTCAAATGACATTTATGGATAAAGGCTTTTCTAAGATAACCGTGAATCGTTGGTAAGTATAACAAATTTCAACAAGGTCGAGTAACTCTGAGAATGAAAGTGAATGAGGAAGATGAAAAAGGGATGGTCGGCCTTTGACGGATGTTATGGAAGGAATCGTAATATTTTTAGAAACCGTGAAACATTTATAAAGAAAATTAAGAAGAGTAGGAAGATATTCATCACGAAACGGTATTTGAGGTTGAGCTGAAAAAAATTAACGAAAGTTGATTTAGAAATAAATAAAACTTTTTTTACAATATTTTATAACTTTAACCATAGAATTCTTTCATAATTTTGATCACTTTCTGAGTGACCCACGAACACTTTTACGTTATAAGGTTTCCATTCAGGGCGTTTGCATTCTTCGCGTTAATTTGAGCTTTTCAATTGCAAATTGCAACTCAGTACCAGTTACCATGTGTATACTTATGAGTACAGGTGAAGAGTTGTTGTACGGCAACCCAAAAATACTGCCGGAATAATAGAGTCATACACGAAATTGTTAAAGAACATTATGACGTTCTAATCCATGGATTAGTCTTTGGCAACAATTGAATTTATTCTTGTGTAATACAAATAATTTAGTATGTAGTACGCAAGTTTTAATTTTAATGAAATAGATACACAATCGATTCCTTAATAAAGGATCTCAAAATAGCGTGTACCGAAAAGCATAGGTATTTGTTTTTATGACTAACAAGTGCCTGTTTCCCCAGGGTCCCCGTGGAAGGTAGAGGTGATGGCGGGGCCGGCTGGGGGTGGCGGGGGCGAGCCCACCAGGCTCATTCCTGCGCGGGTGCCGGCCATTTTCGAGATTACAACCTCTCCGGGAGCACCCACATTCGGCAAGAACGAGGTAACGAGTAGTCTAATTCAGTAAAGTCTAACCAGGAATATCACTCGCTCTGTGACGTCACAAAGTACAACAAAACGACTGCGAGTGTAACGCTGCTGTTACGATTTCTTGTGACTAATCGATAAAATAGATTAATTTAGAGTAGAAACTTACCATTAAATTTCTTTAATCAGTAGGTATTTAATTGAAATTTTTAAAGTGCTAATCTCTGCACCTAATATTATAAATTAAAATTAGTAGAAAAGAGGACTAAAGTTTGTACGTATCTTTAGGTTTATGGAATAAAACAAGAAAATCATATTCATTTACTCTGGAATACTTTATGTTCGTTGTTATTCAGGTTTGCATTCTAAAGGATACTTTACTACTTGGTATTCGTTCTTTTTGTCTCGAGTTTGGCATTTCGATAAAAAGATACAGGCTTATGTGTGGCATGGTTCCAAGAACTTGATGACACCATACAAATATGTGTGTAAAACGAAACGTTTAGCTCCGGAATTAGGCCTTAAGTTGATATTAAGCAAAATAGATGTTTTATCGCCAGACTGAAGTTATCATAAATTTTATCAGCAGTCACATCAACGCATCATTGTTTAACAAATTAAGAATGTAGTGTTTTGTCCAAACGTCGTAAAGTTAAGAAGTTTCAAATTCAAGTTTCGGAAGTTTAAAGGAGCATAATGTTCGCCGAAACAATTTAAACGTATAGATGTGTTTTATTGTTTTTTTTATTTCGGACTTGTCATACCATTAAAATGACGACCGCCATACACGCACACCTGAACTAAAAATGCCCGATACACTGTTATGACTATGTAGAGGACCCAAACGTGTTTAAATAACTCGTGCCCTGGACTTTTAGGTCCCCGGAGGTTGACTCTGCCCGACATACTTTTATAATTAATATATGTTTATATATATACGCGTCTAAATGTAACTCGGCAATAAATCAAAAGTAAAATATGGGAATTTGAGCGGCCAATTTACGTACCGTCGCGGACTCTGTCACAATATCCCTAATGCCAAAGTAAGAGTCGCATTATTGCCGTGATTTATACCCGAACGGGCACTAAAAGCGTTGGCGTTTTTGCCTTTTGCAACGACACAGCCAATTTGAGATTTATTGCCTATCGCCTCTCCACTCCCTTTCCACGTTACATATCTATTCGCGCATAAAATCGCTACGTTTAATACACAGAAAAAAAATTGTTGGTAGTTTGTAGTAGGTTCGTAATATGATTTTTAAGTAAACATCTCGTATAACATACACTTATATTTAATAACACTTTTCGTTTCTGTTCGATATCCAATATATAACTAATCCATTAATATATGTAATGGACTAGTTTTGCGTATATATCCGATCGTAGCGTTTCGTATGATAGATGATGACATATAAAGTGAGAAAAATATGGATATGCCTGTCATGTCTATCGCAACAGAATATGACCTTTTTCCATTTTTTCCGCCCTCACTCGTTCCAAATCGCTTGATAAATTACTATTTGCAAATTTCGTACAGGACATGCAGTTACTTACCACATTTAATAAGTATTACCGACTCCACATTTTTCACTATTGCTGTTATTTAAATTTAGTTATATTGCTAATGTTACGTTATAAAAGATATTTTTCGGACTTTGTGACCTGGTTGGTAAATGTTCTAACATTTACTTGTCACGATGCGTTTTATATTATACCAATGAATTCATGTTTTTACGAAAGTGTAATATAAATGTTCTGCTTTGTATACTAACGCCCGGTTTCTGAAATACTGATCATCGTAGAAGTTAACTTATCAGCTGTCAAATGGCTTTTCAATTTTTTTTAAGTTGCTAAAAGGATAGTTAATCTCCGAATTGATCAGAATGATCTTCTTAATGATCAGAATGATCAATTCAAAGAGTTTTGCCTAAGCGTCGTTGTTGAAATATGTAATTCACGTTGCCTCTCCGTCCAGTCACTAAAAGTTGTTGTTAAACAAAATGCGATCCAATGTTTTCGAGGAATGTCATAGATCAGAGATGGCCAGAAATTTCTCAACTAGGCCCCACTTTAAATATAGCAATAGACTAACCATATATTCCAATCAGTTTCTATGTTTAAAAATCACGAGTGATCGATTAAATAATTTCAGAATCGACTTGTTGACCTCCCCTGCAATAGATTATTATTCATAATTACAGGTGAGCGTCACGGTGACATCTCCGTCCAGGCGCCCGGTGACAGCGAGAGTTCTGGACGTCGCCGAAAGGCCTGGGGTGTACCGTATTGAATTCACACCGGAAGAGGTCGGCACACATCTCATCGATGTAAGTCATCTGTGAAGTATATAGTAATTCTTTACTTTATTAATGTAGTTCGTACATGATACTTACAGTACCATAAATTTATTGGGATGATGGCTGTGATTATCTATTTAGTAATCTTAACTTTTACGCAAGTCCACGTGATTTGCACATAGGAACACATATAACGGCAACAGAAATACATCAAATGTGAAAATCAACTATCTAAATATCACGGTTCATAAGTACACCCTGATGACAGAAAGATAGACAGACAGACAGATAGCGTAGTCTTCGAAATAGGCTCTTGTTTTATTACTCTTTGGTTACGGAACCCTAAAAACGACTTAAATTATTAGAAATCTTATTTATAAGACACTTTTTTAATTTTAAATATTGGCTTAGTGCAAAAGGGTTTCTGTGAAAAATTAAACATATAACAGTTATTAGTAATATGAACAGTGAAAATATAAATTTAAACATTTAAAAGCGCATATTACTACATATATGAGGACGTTGGCTAGGGACTAAAAATACTTCATTTTTATTGAGCTCACAATTAAATTTCCCCTCACAATGAAAAAAAATTTCCTCCGCATGCTTATTTTTATTTGACCACCCTATGAGCTGATTCAATATGGATTTTTTATAAAAAGAACGTGAGGAATCCTACTTATCTAAAATTAATGTCAAGTCGACCAAATCACGCTGGAGCAGCGAGGTTCATGTAGTCAATTGAGAGTCCATGCTCCGCAGTGAGTCATGTACGAATAGGCTTATTACTTTACGTTATTTCTTAAAACCACAAAACTATCAATTTAGACCCCGGGTCCAAGTAAATACTGAGCTTCCAAGCACAAAGTAAATATAAAACAAAAATAAATTATCATGCCTGTTCTTTTCTAGAAAAGGAAGCTTTCATTCATCGGGGTTATCGTAAACCCTAAAGTTCGAGTTGTAACATCATACCTACGTAGTAACGTTAGTATCTTAGGGCTGTCGTCAATATTTCAATAAAGTATTTTTGCCTTGTTTTTTTTTTAATAAAGCAAAATTATCTGAATTTATAAGTTTGTAACATCATAACCTATTTATTTAAAGTCGGCTTGCCTTACTTGCATAGTTATTGTTTACATTTTCTTGAAAAGTAAATCTCATTGGCTAGATTTTTACCGACTGGCCGCCTGTCGGAGGACAACCGTCCTTGGGAACAGACACCCAGATCGGAACAATTATTCGAAATTAATCGAACCCATAATCCCCGGCGCCGTAGCCACTGCGCCACTGAGTCATCAATCAAGTACGATAAGGCTAAATTTAAAGAAGAGTTTTTGTTTATTAATATAATTTTTCGCCTTTAGTGACATCAATATCTATTGGTCGGCATAATTAAAAAGATACTCAACGTGACAACCTAAAGATACACAAAAAAAAGTTATAACGGCAGCACCGCGATTTGAGTTAATTCTGTTAAAATTTCGAATTAAATAAGACCGCCGAATACGAGCCAGCCAAACATAACTTGTAGTCTATGTGCGACTCAATTATATTTTTTCTCCTTATATCTTTGCTCTCATACTCTTCACTTTCCTAAACTATCAGCATGCTCTTCGTGCTAAAACGAAAAGTCTTCCGAAACAGCACGAGTTATAATGTTAATACTTATTGCTAAATATCAAAATGAAAAGTAAATGGTTCATAAAAATGAAAGCAAACTTATAACCTAACCCTAGTCTTATAAAATAAAACTCGTGAATGTCAAATGGCGGAAGCCGAGCGACCTTAATCTTTAAAAGTCAGCTATTGAAATGAATAAAGTTGAAATATCTTTGAATTTGAAATGAAATAGAGAGCTTATTTCATACGTGTTATGCAATATTACGATCTGCTTAAAACTTTCTTCTGACCCACATTCTGCTTAAGTATACATTTACTACATGCATAAAGAAACAAAATTTTCATTTATTTTTAACACAAGTTTGAAGGGAAAAACATTGCTAAAAGTTCCAATGCTTACATTATAAAAGCTTATTTTTGTATAACGTTAATCCTTTTATTTAGATATATTACCTACATATTTTATTATTGTTTTAAAATTGTTACGAACCTACCTACATGTTATTGTAATCACGTACCTAAGTACTTTATGCAAATATGCACTTGATAAACCAGAAAGCACGCGATTTCTTCAAACTAAGTTGAGCCCTTCACTTCGTACATGTATCGAAATTTTAATGAAGTTTTCTAGACAATTGAAAAGCGATGTGAGCTTTCGATCTATGACTTTCTTGACAGAATACACTACATTAACGTATTTCTTTTCTTTCACTGTGTTTATCTGCAAATAAGTGACTGAAGCATTATCATAGGCAAAAATATAATCCCTACTAGTATTATAAATGTGAATATAAGTTGGTTTGATACCCTTTCACGCCAAAACTTCTCAACCGCCGAAACTTTGTACACATTGTTACAAATATTAAAATATGTCCTTTTTAATATGATTCATTTTAGTAGTAACAATTCAAAAAGGATATTTATTTAAGGACTACAACGCGAGCGAAGTCGCGGGTAAAATTTAGTAATATAATATATAAGACAAATGCTAAAATATTAAGATTGTTACTTTTTTGAATATTTACTTTTTGTTACAAACTGGAAAGTGCTTTTTATTACCATACCACCGAATGGTGAGCAGCGATGTGTTAGTAAATACCTTTAAACTCTTGTTTAAATAATATTGGTCATTATTTTTGACAATGTTTTATATTGAAATATAACGAATATATATTTGAACTTAATATTACAGGTTTCGATCGCAGAAGATAAGTTAGCTGTGGGGCCGCTGGTAGCCAAAGTGTACGACTCAAGCCTTATCAAAGTAACGGACGTTGCTAACGCTGTAGTTGGACAGCAGTGCCAGTTTAGAGGTAAACTTCTCCAATTGAACCACTCCTGTTACACCTGCAAGTAAAATTGGGAAAGTTGAGGAACAATCTTGCTACTTTAGCCCACAGACTCAAACTCTTTATTTGTTATATGTAAAAAGAAAGCATTTTACTTACTTATTCCTAAACTATTTTTAATCTCCTATTCTTTTTAAACAACTTTTTTCTTTTTTAATAATAAAAAAACAGATTTTTCATTTCAGCAGTTAGTTACCTTTTTGCTTTAAACAGCGTTAACTAGTATTTATTAAAACATGTAGAAAAAGTACGAAAAGATTGTCGCCGTTGTGGGAATCGAACCCACGTCTTGGGCATTCGCGGCCTGACGCTCTAGCCACTGAGCTAAACGGCTGATTGCCACACCGACGAAAATCTTAACGTCTTTTTCCACATTGTTTCTTAGCATTTGAAGCAATTAGTATTTATTAGATGAATTATGCATATTTACTATGTTTATGTGCGCTTTTGTAGTACAGTAATGACTTCAATACTGCTGCTGTTGCTACACATAATTAAAGCGATATTTTTGTCTGAATCAATAACTGCAAATTACCAGTAAAAATAAATGAAATTGTTTGGAAAGGACTTTTTATATTTTTTTATTTTTTAGCCTATGAATAACCATAAATTTAAAAGCCTTCAGTATACATACTAAATAATAAATAGCTTATATTCCCGGCTCAAAACAACAATTTATTTTCAATATATTTCAAGTGCCATATTTTTGGTTTCAGTGGATGCCAGCGCTGCCGGTGAAGGGCAATTAGAAATTTCAATAAATGAGGGTGAAGTCCCCAATCACGTACAAGTGAGTTTGTTAAGTTAAATATAATTAGACTATGATCGAAAATAATTACTGTAATTTTTTTCACTATGTATTTAAAATGAATATTGAACATCATTTCATGCAATTTTCATGTCTTCTACAATTATAATACAATGTTATTTCTCAGACTCTACTGATTGTAAAATATATTCGGATGAATATGATTGCTTTTATATCAGGTAGTTGGTGGTGGGCGATGTCTCGTCTTCTGGAGGCCTGAAGCTGCGACACCCCATCGAGTAGACATAAAGTTCAACGGAGAGCCGGTACCCTCATCGCCGTTTGTTTTTGACGTCGCTCCTGCCCAAAGAGTTACTATAGACACATCACAAATCGGTGAATATAGCTTTATTTAATATTACTAGACAGGCGTATACAAACAACATTTTAATAATATATAAAGTAGATAAAACGGTAAAATAATTGTGAAATGTTTACAATCAGCAAATTAATGTCTTTCTCTTCCTTTCTTAACAACAAAACGTACAAGAAAGTGTCAAGATACAAGTTAGATTTTCTTCGGACTTCTTACAAAAATTGAGATATTATTAAATTTTACTTGTAGAAGTAATTGAAAAATTGTTTTAATTGTAGAAGTAGGAAGTGGTGTAAATCAAGTACAGAAAAGTCAATAAATAAGAAAATATGGTGCTACTGTCCTATAAAGACCATTTCAAGTTAATTGCTTTAATTATTGGAATAGGAGAAAACATAATGGAGACAGGTATCCGTTTTGTAAAGATAAAAATAAACTTTAATAATTTTAAATTAAAAAAATACGACGCATTTTAACGTTAACTGAAAACATGCAAATGAGGATTTCAACTTTCAACTGGCAGTTCACGTCTTTGACAGTGACATTTCACGTCACACATTGTTTTCATTTTGAGTGGTGTTTATTTGTTTCATGGTTTTGGTTTATTTATTAGAGTACATTTTAGTTACTAAATAATTTTTAAAGTTTAGTGAAAATATACCTGTTGTGAATTGATAACGGTCAAAAGTAAAGATTTTAGGTGGTGTAGTTTTTTTACCACATAATAGGTATACTAAAAGAAAGTTTTGCTAACTGATATTTTTGTTGCTATAGAATTAATACCAGTGGGTGAGGCCGCGTCATGTTCAGTACGAGTAGAAGGTTCCGGTGGAGGAGAACTTACAGTTACCGTGAGGGGACCTCGGGGCGATGTACCAGTACGCCTCACCGGTGACGCTGCATCAGGGCTAGTAGCTAGCTTTACACCGAAAAATGTTGGCCCACACACTCTTACAGCACACTACAATAATCAACCAGTACCTGTAAGTATCACCTGCTACCTAAATAGTTTAAGGGAATCAGTTTAAACTTGGTATTTATGATAGGTGTGTTATGGATTTGTCATTAATATAAAACAACAAAAAAAAATATTAAGATAAATTTGTATTTTTGACATTATTCAATAGTGTTTGAAATTCACTATGAGTGAGCAAATTGAATTCAAACTTGATATGAACATCAGTTGTATTGTTGTAATGTTATTTTATGATCTGCCATATGCCTGTCAATGTATTAAAATATATGCATATTAAGGAAATACACAATGAAACAATTAACTTTAGTTTTAATGGTGTCTTAACCAGGTGTTTTAACATTGACTGATTAATACTTTCATTAAAGATTGATTGAAAATGGGCTCCATTTTCAAGCAGTGGGACTTGTATGAAGAAATACTTTTCTATGTAGTCATGCATACTATGCACAATACTACCAATACACTTATTTTTATAAAGACATGTATACACTTCTGTTGTTACCTAATTTTAATGATCCAACACTAGGTAATTGAAAGTATGACTACTGCAAGACAGCTTGCTAAACTAGTGCAGGGTTCACTAAGCAAACATATACATATAAAATTTGAATTTGTTCAATATTGTAGAATAATATGTTTTTGTACACTACTTTTATTTTAATTAAATCTTTATTATTATTATATTTTAGGGAACACCCTTTGTATGTAAAGCATATGATGGAAAGTTGGTGAGTGTAAGTGGTGGTGCATCTGCACGCGTTGGGGTTCCAGTGCAACTGGCGGTAGATGCAGCACAGGCTGGTGAAGGCAATCTTGAGATCACGGTGGCTGCAAGAGGTTTAAATATTCCAACACAAGTTCATCCTCAGGTAATAGAGGTTTATCTGTTATCCATAATACAAAGAAATAAATATAATCACCTTAATTAAATGCTACAATGATTCTTTATGAATACTATAAAGTTTTATTCATAACATTCTAAGAATTGCACTGGTAAACAGTTACACTGTTGGTAATAACTTCAATGTATATTTTTATTAAAAAAAATGTAAATATAATAATATTTATAGACACAATTTATACATTAAAAATATAATATTCATTGATTTCATTAAGAAAGTAATAGAGTTTTAATTTTCTTTTACAGGGAAATGCTCGGTTTACAGTGTCTTTTACACCTACTGAAGCATGTGAACACATTGTTAATGTTTCATTTAATAAGGTCAGTTTTTTATTTTATGTCACCCCTGTATCAATACACAATTAATTCTTTTTTTTTTTTTTAATAAAAACATAGTACAAATATTTACAAGATTGAATCTATCTAAAATTACATGTTATCTAATAAACCTAATCCACACGGCATGGTGCCAAGAACGGTAGCTGCATTTCCTCGCTGAATAGTTATGGTTAACCTTTGAGCAAGAAAAGAACCAGCTCTCTTGTTTTATTGTTTATATATTATTTATATATTATTTATACTCTCTTATTTATATATTATTTATACTATTATATATTATATTATTTATATTAATTCTTTTGTTTTACGTATTATTATTTTTAATTGAATCAAAACCTGACAGATGCGGGTACCAGGCTGCCCCCTCATTGTAGCTGTAGCAGAAGGAGGTGGTGGCGGCGCTAGAGTTACATTACCAGGTCCTGTACCCCTACACAGGCCTGCAGCATTGACATTACACCATCCTTCTGCAACTCTTGACCAAATAGAAGTTAATGTAGAGGGTAAGTGTTGAACACTGTTTTGAGCTTCTAGCATGATTAAAAAATTATATTTCGATGCCATTTTTAAACTGGTTTCTTTTAGTATACTAGTTGTTTATTAGTTATGCATAAACATAATATAAATTCTAAAATATACATCCAGATATTTTTTGGCCTTACAATTAATATTATTTACAAATATATTTTTACTTAATTATTCAATGTGCCTTGTAGGAAACTGAAGTACTATTTAAGTAACTATTTTGTTATTTAAAAGTAATTGGTTAATCATACTGTGTGAGTGAGTGAACTCACTTAACACCAAAAAAGGAATTGCCAAATTTCACAAAACAAAATAGCTCTTAAATTAAGTATTAGAATTATTATATTGTTTCTTTACAGGGAGGTTTAGATGAGGGATATAAAAAAAAGCTGAACAAATTAAAAAAATAGCTGTCCAGCACAGAATTACGGGGTTAATGATCACAAATAAAAGAACAAAATATATTTACTTAATATTTAAAACACTTTTAATCACTTGCTTTCGCTCTTTTAACAACTTTCACCAAATATAACTCTCTTTTAACTTACTTCTCTTGAATGCACGCAAGTTTATATCACTCTCGAATTTTTAATATCAACTTGCAGTTAGAAGTTTATATTTAATTTAATCATTACTAACATAGATTATGGTATGGTAAACGCTGCAAATGGATGAAAACTTCAATGGAAGCATTGCAAAAAAAAGAGGGATATATACATAGTCTTATTTAACGGAATAAAATAACAATGGCGTAACAAATATAGTTTGTTTTTATTTTATTTACTATTACAAAGCTCATCCGCTTCGCCCTAATTTCTAACAATCATGAGGATCAAACGAGACAGTTGATGACAGCGTGTAAAGCGGGACTCGAAAACTTGTGGGGAGGATAGGGTTAGGGGGAAAAGGGTTAGAGTTAGGGAAGGGGGGATTCGGTTAGCGGGAAGGGGGATAAAGTTAGGGAAGGGGGATTGGGTTAACTAGAGGGGGAAATAGAGTTAGGGAAGGGAGATCAGGTTAGTGGGAAGGGGGGTGGGGATAGTGGTTAGGTAGATATGATGTCGGGGCGTTGCGGTGAGCTGAGCGTGAGTGCGGGGCGTAGGTCCGAATGGGGCGTCCGTTCCCGCCGCCGTCGCCGCCGCCGGGCAGTCCGCTTTCCGCGCGGAGTTCGTGCCCCGAGCCGTGGGCGAGCATCGCCTTAACGTGCTCGTCGACTCCGTGCCCATACCGGCCAGCCCCTTCCACCTGAAGGTACGTGTTGTTTAAGTAAATTTTTGAAGGTGTTTACGATTGGAGACAAGGAAGCTTAGTGACCGTTCACCGGAGCCCGGAAATGTTTGAGTGCTAAAATAAATGTAACCTCAAAATTTTCTGTAGATCGTATTTTTTTTATCCCCTATAGGATAGGCAACTGCATCAGGGTCAGTTCTTAAGGCATGTAATGTAGAGATAATTTGGAAATAAATTAATTTGTATTTGTATTAATTGAAAAGTTTTTTGCCTTTTCTCGGCTTCGCATGTACAACAATGAGTGGTTGACGAGTATTCTTATGTCGACGTGTGTGTGTGATAATAACGCGGTGCTTACTTTTAGTGTTATTGATATTATGTGTAACTTTTAAATATTTGTATTCGTGAAGTTTTTGACAATTTTAGGTCTATGACGTCACCGCAATACGAGTCAAGGATGTAGCGCATGGCACCGTTGGAAAGCCGGTGACGTTTCTGGGTAAGATTTTATGTTATTTAAAAACAGAACTTATTACCTACATTAAAATGAACACATCACGAATAATATTCCGTGAGTGGTGCAACGCTCTCAAAGTAATATTCATAATAAAGATGACAACAGTAAAGTTGTGTATTGATGAAGTCGTTGACAACCTTTTGAAACTTGGGCTCCGGCCACCGCACTCGCCAGACGAAACACGAAAGTATTATACTTCCACTTTATGCCGGTCTTCTGTGAGGTCGTACGTAGTACTTCCCCGGACGGACCAAGCAAAAAGTTAAAAGTCAACATTTCTTTATTCAATATAGGCTTAATTTAAGCTCTTATTGAACGTACAAACTACCACCGGTTCACTAAACTAATCCTGAACAGAGAGGAACCGGCAAGAAACTCTGCGGTCTCATAATCACTTTTTTTTTTCGTGATACAATTACACAATTAAAATTTGTAGAAAACTTTTTCGTACTTTTTACAATTTTAATGTTTAATCCTAAGTTCAGAGATAAGTACTATAAAAATTTCTAAGAAGAAATGGCGACATCTCTCGTTCGAATCGAATTATCGTTGTAAAACGATATTCGAAATTGTTTATATGCTGGAACAATGGCTGCGCCAAGCATTGCTTCAAATGCTAAAAAAATGATGTAGATAAAAGACGATAAGATTTTCGTCAGTGTGGCAATCAGCCGTTTAGCTTAGTGCCTAAAGCGTCAGGCCGCGAATGCCGAAGACGTGGGTTCGATGCCCGCAGTGGCAACAATCTTTTCGTACACAAATTTTAACAGTAAATCTTCTTTAGATCTTATTCTTGACTACCGAACATATGTTTTATTAGCTTTATTACAAATTTTAATCTTTAACCTTAAGTGCAGAGATTAGCACTATAAAAATTTTAAATTTACAATTGCACAAACTCATTTAGGTTCACACTTACACGACTCACACTTACTTCACTTTACAGATGTTATGTTGCATTTAAAAATGTGGCCTGAAATGTTTATTTATTTGACGCTCGCGTCGGTGCGCCGCAGTGGAGACGATGGCGGCGGGCCCCGGCAACCTGGAGGTGACGGTGAACGGGGGCCGCGTGCCCACCGCGGCGGCGGCGCAGGGCGCGCACACGTACGCGATCAGCTTCACGCCGCGCGACCCCCGCCCGCACACGGTCGAGCTGCGCTTCAACGGCGACCACGTGCCCGGTGAGCGGCCGTCAGTCACATAACGACTTGTAGATTAAAGGAACGCTTCTTGTATCTTGTATTGACTGATGTTTTTGCTCTCGGTCCCGAGACTATTAAAGCTTCATCGGACGCAGAACCGGTGGGCTAGCCAGAACCCACGGGTTTGGGCCCTCCGCTGTGGGTAGGGCCACGCTAGGAACGCTAGTAACTCGCTCTCAGTAGGTAAAATGGCTCGTAAGGAAAACGCCTCGTTTTGTTAATATAGGAACCGGGCGTACACGCCTTTTATCTAAAAAGTCGTTTTGAAAGTTACGAAGCTATGTAACTAACGGCCGTTCGTTGAATATAGGAACCCGGCATCAGGATTGGCGTCGTAGGGTTGTCGAAAACGTGTCGATATATCGATATTCTCGAAGTGAAACTTCTAATGCGACCTCCAAAAAGGTTGCGTTAAACGTTTAACACTCCTGGGAGGGGGAACAGAAAGAGGCAGAGCGAGAGTGAATGCGTGGCACTCAAAGTTTCACTTTTTCCGCGCGCAGAGGCTCCACGCACTATTTATTCGATACTGTACATCGACATTTTCGATTCTATTCGCGATTTGTATGTTATATTGTATTAATGATTATTTGAATGCACACACTCTGGAAATGAATTGATCGCTCCAGGCTCTATAAAGTTAATATTCTACGTCCGCCTGCAGGCAGCCCGTTCGTGTGCCACATATCGGCGCCGGCGCGCGTCATTGGCGCAGGCTCGGGCGAGTCGCCGGACAAAGTGTCCGTCGGCGACGCGTACACCTTCAGCGTGGACTCGCCCGCATCGCCGCTCGTCGAGGTCCTGGGGCCGGCCAGGAGGCCCGTGCCGGTGCAGGTACCGAAACGAGCCTAGACGCCAAACATAATATTGTTCCAGCTAAAAGACGACATCTAAGTCGTGCTCCAGCTGAAAGACGCTGAACACGGTAGTGTTCCAGCTAAAAGACGCTAAATAAAGTAGAGTTCCAATTTAGAGAAGCCAAACACGGGTACTGTTCCAGCTTGAACACGCCAAACAACGTACTTTTCAAGCTTAGAAACCGCCAAACAACCAATGGCGGATTTGTAGTCTTGGCCGCCCTAGGCCCCAGCCCATTAAGTTCCAACCGCCCCTTTCTCAGCGCCCATCATATATCTTATTATCATCAGGGAATTTTTTGTCACTATTGGCGCCCCTAATATGTAGCCGCCCTTGGCCCGGGCCTATTTGGCCTTAGGGCAAATCCGCCACTGCAAACAAGGGTAGTCTTCTAGCTAAAAGACGCTAAATAAGGTAGTGTTCTAGCTAAGAGCCGCCAAACTAAGTAATGTTCCAGCTTAAAGACGCCAACAAGATAGAGTTTTCAAAGGCGGACAGCTCATATGACGACAGAAGTTGCACGTCCCTACCACAGTCTATGTTACATGGGAAAGAAGCCGATATACGCCTTGGTCTTGTGCAGAAATAACATAGAAGTTTAGTTTAGTCTATCATCTAAGCTAGTAAGCTTAGGTTGGTGACTTAGGACTCAAATAATCCATCCTCTTTCTTGAAAATATAACTTGTCCTATTGAATTGAGTGTATAAACATTGAATCACTGTAACAAAAGACGGTGAAAATAACTTTCTCTATAGCACAAAGAAAAATTATGCCATGCATTTTTATTTTTAAATAAACCACTTTCAGGTGATTCTATATAAAATATATTCCACATGGTGGTCTTTACATCAATGCTATATCATAGTGATTTTGTTTCGGAACCGTTTAGCAGATGACACGTTTCGATTTGTCATAAATGTATTGTTGGATTCTTATAGAAATTGAAATCAGATATTCATTATACTAATGATTGAATTTATTGCTGTAGGTATCAGCTGAGGAGACTGTTGGGGAGAACGAAGCTAGCAAAAGATACACCATCTCTTTCGTGCCTGTCGATGTAGGCGACCACAGTATTGAGGTAAATTAACGTCTGTCATTTTTAATTGATAAAGAAATGTCTACCATATATTTTGGACAAATATTTGTAGCCGGAAAATAGAGACTACTGTCGCTCTCTTGCTAAATCACTGCTAAATCATTGAGTTTATTTTTTTATTTCAATTATAATACTCATTTAAATAAAACAATTGAAAATCCCTAGGTCATTAAAAAAACAACTTAAAAGCGCATTGAATGATATACACAAATCTTAAGCCTCAACTCACGGACGGGTTTAATGTGGGATTGGGCGTCTGGCATAAGGCTGCAGGACGAAAGTAATGTTCGTAGAACCTCTCGTTCTCATTTTAGTCAAATTCGCTTTCTGTCTCGCTCCCACGTCACGTCGTTGTACAATCACGAACAGCACTGTGATCAGTTGTGTAAACGTATACTTTTAGATATTAGAATGATGACAGAATTGTAAACTGAAGCGCAGTGCCCAAAAGCGCACCTTTTAATCATATTTATGTATGTGTATTGGCTCTACTCTTCCTGTATCAGTTTCCCGCCTTTGCCAACGTGCGTATTTGCCCGCAGGTGAGGGCCGGTGCGATGGGCGGCCACGTGGAGGGGAGCCCGTTCCTCGTCAAGGCGTACAGCGCGGCGCGTGTTTCCGTCACGGACATATCGCCCGGCGTAGTCGGGAGGCCCGTCTCGTTCACCATTAACGCTTCGCACGCCGGTATATACTCATTCCCTTTAACTTCTAACAATCATCTAGCTCAAACTAGATGATGACGACGTGAAAAGAAACTGGGGGGGATAGGGGAAAGGGGGATTAGAGGGAAGAGGTGGGGGTATTTCTTCTCCCCAAATTGAGGCCGGTCTCGTTCACCATTCTCATCTTCGCACGTCGATATATACTCGTTCTCTTTAACTTCTAACAATCATAAAGCTCAAAATAGGTAATTGATGACAGCGTGATTAGAAACGGGGGGCGGGGATAGGGTAAAGGGGGAGAGGGAAGAGGAGTGTTTTTCTTTTTGGTTTTCCCTAAATTTCGTAAAAATCTACTACTACTACTACTAGACCACATTTTGGTATGTGCAGATTTGCAGCAATCTATAAACAAGTATGGTCTGGCTCGTCTGCTGAAGTACCAGGGCCTCATAGAAGGCTAGCGTTAATTAAAAGTATTCATACTTTCACGTTAAATCTGGTGAGTGCGGTAGCGCAACTGCATCACCAGGGCTGTTACCGGCTCTCTACCAATGTTCATTTATAAAATTAATGATTTTAAATATGAAATCTTTGTCTGTACATTTTTATTTTGTCCGCTCATTGATTGTTAATCAATATCACAGGCGCTGGGAACCTGGAGATAATCGTGGCCGTCAACGGCAGGAACGTCCCGAATTACGTGCAAAGCGAGGGCAACGCTAGATTCAAGGTAGGTTTGTATGATGTTGAGGTTTTTGAATGTTATTACATTTCGAAATTACTTTCTATATGTTTTCAAAACCAATAATGGCGTATAAAAGTAAATTAACATCTTTTAAGTGAAATATTTTCTGATAATTTATTAATATGTTTGAGATTTAATGTGGGGAAATAAGCGGTTTTTATCCGAAAAAACTTATTGTCTATCAATATCCGACTGTCACAAACGGGAAGGTTCGGTTTAAGGTTCAAAGTTTTCATTCGTGTGAATAAGTGCAATCAGTACTCGCCATATTTCCTTACAACTCTTCATAAGATTCAATAATAATTACTTTGTATGACAAAGAAATATGGTAAAATTGTGTGTTAAGGTTTTTTTGTGTTGTCATTCAATATCAGTTTCTACTACACATCATAAGGTAAAATTTATGTAATCCAAAACGGGCCGTCCCGCGATATTACTGTATTATGGTGTTAAAATAGTGCACTGTTTAATGCCTCCTGATTATGGATGTCCCGCCAGAAATGTGACAGAGCGTTGTCGTTCAAAAAACGGCCATACCCCACCGCGATAAGGCCCTCCCGATTGTGGATGTCCCGCCAGACAATGTGACAGAGCGTTGTCGTTCAAAAAGCGGCCGTACCCCACCGCGATAAGGGCTGAAATATCCTAACAGTCCTCCCCGTCCGCAGGTGAACTTCAAGCCGGTGGAGGCGGCGGTGCACACGCTCTCGGTGCGCTTCAACGGGCACGCGGTGCCCGGCTCGCCGTTCTCGTGCACGGTGAGCGCGCCGCCCGCAGCGCCCGACGCGCGCGCCACCGGACCCGGCCTAAGTTCCGCTGCGCGCGGTCAGCCCGCCGACGTCCACCTCACGGGCTTCCACAGTGAGTACACTGGGGCATACAAACCTATAGGTGTCCGAGCGAGGACCGCGTACCATCGAGCGCAGAAGTTGCTTAGCTAATCGGTAGCCGGGGTGATGAAGCCTTCGAAGTGTACCGTCGAGTGCAAAAATTGGGTAGCGAAATACATACATAATGGGCAATCATAGACTTCCATAGTGAGTGCACGAGTACACTGGGGCACACAAACCTGTAGCACCCGAGCGATGACCACGTACCGTCGAGCGCAAAAGTCGCTTACCAAAACGGCAGGACGTGAAGCCTGTGACGGCTCGCACTAAAGCGTCAATAACAATGTCTCAAGCGTTTGTGATCAAAACGTCAATAACAACATGTCACACAGTTAAATTTAAAACAGAAGGGCTAGAAATTTATCACTTGTGACAAGTGATGAATAAATTTCTAACAAAATCTTGGAATTCATTTGCGATTTCACGTTACTCAGGACAAGAAATGACGAGAAAAAATTACCCTTGTTTTTGTTTTTATTTAAAGCAGCTATTATAATGTACATTTGTTTACGAATTGAACTGAACAATTGCTTAAATTTGAATATGGGATGTTTACAAACACCAAATCGATTCGCGAACAATAGCTTTGCCCCATTTGTTAAACGGACGTCGCAAGTTGTTGTGAAGTATGTGGAGGAAATTTTAATAATTTAGTAAAAAATAAATAAATGCACTTGACGTAATAATGAAAAAACTGTGCTCCGTGGACCCTCATTTAAAAAAATACGACGGTAAGAATGAGATTTTTCTACTGTGTGTAGACATACTGAGTGGCGACATCCTTATATTTTTTTTAAAGCGATTGAATGACAGAAAACGTCCATAACTCTTGCTTTCAGAACCTATACCTATGGATAAGCAGCTTTTAGTGTAAACAGATCCGAAAAATTAATAAAAGACAGGTTTTTCTGAAGGATTAATTTAAAGACATTAAAACACGCCTTGTTATTCATTACCTATTATCATGATTCCGCATTCCAGCTACAAGGCTTGTATAATTGTTGCGACAGATTACCTCCAGACACCTCTGAAGCCGTTTTAAAATGTCAGAATTACGAAAGAAAATAAGGGATGGAATCAACGACTTTTTGTTATTTAAAAAAGTATCGTATTCGCATGAATATTAGCAATAATTACGAACTGAAATCATGTGTACGGACAAATTTATGATTATATACTTTTGCCGTACACATAAATTCAGTTTTCCATCTATCTTAAAATTTCTACAATAGTATAGAACACTATTTTTATCTATGACTCTGCGACACTACTTTCTAGCTACTTTATAACCTCCGCGGCGCAGTTTCCAAGGTGTTATTGGTTTCATCGCCGGGGGCGTGAGTTCGAATCTCACACGAGGCAATTGTTTGTGTGAAACAGATAATCGCTTCAGATTTAAGAGTTTATTCACGTGAAACTTATGTATGTAAAACGATCTCACAACACGGGATAATGTTATCCTACAGCAAGTCGGCAACGTTTTCGAAAGGAAGATTGCACCAGATGTTTCTACGTCGCAGTGGTCGTTGGTGGCGTCGGTTCGCCTACCATACAAATACAATACAATACAACGTGACACACCATTCCAGCGGGCGAGCCGACGGTGTACGTGACCGGACCGGGCGGCAGCACGGTGCGCACGCGCGTGACCGCACTGGGCGACGGGCGGTACACGGCGACGTACACGCCCGAGGCGGTGGGCCGCCACAGCGTGCAGGTCACGTGCGCGGGCAGACACGTGCCCGGCTCGCCGTTCACGTGCAACGTGTACGACGTGCGCCGCGTGCGCGTCACCGGCCTCGGCCCCGGCGGTATGCACTCTATGGCGTTATCATAGTAACACCCTATAAATGTTCCACTGCAAGGTAAACGCCTCCTCTATACAGAGGGTATTAGAGCTTACATATCTTCGATATAGAACTACACATATCTTTGAAATGTTTTGTTTTTGTGATCATTTCGAAAATCTGCAGGTTTCCTCGCATTGTTGAAATCGGGTTACTCGAGTATAAATACTTAACATTGACACCCGCATATTATTATAGCTTGGCTATATTCCCTATGGGATACTATTCGTTGGGACTTACTATCCAACCCCTTCCACACAAGACATGGGATGGTAATATATCTGGCCTATCAATTTGGTCAATTGGCATCCCAAGCAATTGATAGTAACGCGGGCAATTGGAAGTATCTGAGGTACTACAAAGTTCAATTTACCATTCGATTAAAAGTCCTTGTATTCAGACTGTCTGTTATGGTACTTCTGGAATGTAGGATATTTTAACTTCATCCTGGTCTTCTGTGAGGCCGTAATGCTTTACCGGACGAGTCTGCCTATTCGTGAAAGAGAAGACAGTGTGGACAAATTTGACAACGATTAACGCCTTTTTTATATCATTTCAGAACTTGAAGGCACCTTAGAGGGTTTGAATTTGGAGGAGGGGGCGGAAGAGGAGCGCGGGGTGGAAGTTGGCAAGCCGGTAACGTTCAGCGTGGACGCAGCCGGGGCGGGAGAGGGCACGCTAGAACTTGTTGTCTCTACTCCTTCCACTACTGTTAAGGCAGAGGTACAACTGACATATCTTATGTTTTATACTAGTTGTTGGTTCCCTCCAGTGGATAAGATCATGGATACTCAGTTAACTTAAGTCTCTAAATAGTCGCTAACAGAAGCTGTGCATTTTTCCGGTTTTGAAAGTAGTATATGCAACATTTCGGCCTATTAACTATCTCTACCAAAATGTTCGGAGTTGTTGGTCCATTAAAATACTCTACTCTCTCCTATACTATAACTACGGATTGGCTAGTACTACGAAATTTTGGAATACGCACTGTGGATTTGTCTTGATTTTGAGTCTGTTTTACTTATATTTTATTATGTATTGTTTTTTTCTTGATTACCATAGTATTTATAAGTTCGTTATGATTTTGTAATTTTCTCTGCAGGTTGTAGCGGTAGCACGTGGCCTCTATGACGTGACCTTCGTACCAGTGTCACGCGAGCCGCATCGTGTCTCAGTCACCTTTAATGAGCAACCAGTACCCGGTAGCCCCTTCATCTGCCGAGTTAATGAGCCGCTTACTTACGTACAAATCGGTAAACTTATACTTGTACTATTAGTAGTTAACTTTTTTTAGTTGTGTTTATAGAAATTGGTCCTTCTAACCGGATAAGCCTCAACGTTTGTCTCTATGTGGTGATTATGTTTTTAATATCTGTGGTCGACAGTGCCAAAATTAGATTGTAATCTATTTATAAATAAAACTAATATTTATTTTAATATGTTACATTTAGTTTTCTAAAAGCAATGTTTTTTTTATTTTTTAGGAGGTGTGGCCTCTTTAGAGATCGATGAAAACGTTACGGACGTCGAAGTGTTGTCCCCGACTGGTACTAGAGTTGCAGATATTACTATGGAAGACTCCGGTCTATTAACATTCCCCGTTAGCCGCGTCGGGAGATACGTTGTAAGGAGTAACAGAGGACCTATAGCAGAAGTAGAAGCTCTCGATGCATCCGCAGTTAAGGTGTTGTCTATTGGTGATGCAGTCGCCCACAGACCAGCTTTAGTTACTGGTGAGTTTATTATTCGTTTTTAAATATCATTTTCGTGAAAGTATTTGTCAAAAATACCGCAAATGCACAGGCGTTGTAACTGATTCTATTTCTTTTTTAAGAATATAATTATGTGAGTGGGACAAACGGTATACAGTGTTTAATTTGCCTAGTTCAACGAACTTTGGATAAGACACCACTTGACGCACAAACTAATTTAAAGTCCAAAGTGCAGGCGTGCAGCGCAGTCATCCTAGTCACCCCTCATGCCTCCCCAAGAAGTTTTACTCAAAAAGCAGACAACTGTGGTAGGGGTGGCATCGTATTTACAACCCTTCGGATGTTTCAAATGTTCACGGGCGACGGTTATCACTTAACATCAGGTGAACCGCCAGCTCGTTTGCCACTTCCTCATATAAAAAAAAAGACACTCAATCACGCACTTTGTGCAGTGAGCACCAGCGGCGCGGGCAACGGGCGCCTCTCGGGGCGCGTGACGTGCGGCGGGCAGACGGTGCCGCACTCGGTGAGGCGGCGCGGCGGCGGCCGCCAGGAGCTGCTGTGGCACCCGGCGCGCGCGGCGCCGCACCGCGTCGCGCTGCTCTGGAGCGGCGCGCCCGTCGCCCGCGAGCCGCTGCTGCTCGACGTGATGCCGGCCCACCACGGCCAGGAGGTCGGTGCCGCTCGCTGTACACGCCGTTGCCTGCTCGCTTCACCCATGCTAAGTGGCTACCGCCGCGCATGTAGTCTGCGACGCACACCGCGGCCAAGAGATTGGTGCTGCCGACTGTACACGCCCCTGCCGTCGCAATTGTCGGGCGAGCAGGCGGTACACCCATGTTAAGTGGCTACCGCCGCCCATGGACCCGTACTAACGCTAAGGGGCCGTCCATTAATCACGACGTTTTTTTAGCATTTTTAACCCACCTCCTCCTCCTTGGGGATGTGATACGTGGTCAGGTTAAAGACTACCCGTGTACGCGTGTATTTTTTAATACCCAAAAACTAAATTCACGTGATATCTTACTACTACCCCCCCTCTGTGACATTTAGTCCTTGGAGGGAGGGGGGGGGGGGGGAACCTTTCGAGCCTCACGTGATTAATGGACGGCACCTAAGTGGCTACCACACACAGATTCTCAAGCCTGCTCGCTTCACACATATTAAGTGGCTACTGCCGCCTATAGACATCTACGATGGCCACCACGGCTGGAAGGTCGATGCCTCTGACTGTACAAGCCTCATGATAAGTGACTGCCACCGCCTATGGACATCTACGACTTTATTTTTACGAAAAACTTTTCGTCCTAATTTTAACGTTTCATGTTTAGTACAGAGTTTGGCACTATAAAAAAAAATTAAAATAGCTATCGTATTAATTCATTTGAATCTCCAACAACCAGGTGGCGGCATCAGGCCTAGGGTTGTACCAAGCGCAAACGGGGAAGGTGGCGTCGTTCAGCATCGACACCCTGGGTCGGCCCGCGCGGGAATTCGACGTGGTGGTCTCAGGGCCCGGCTCTAGGGCCTTGCCGGTGCGCTGCTACCAGACCAAGTCGGGCCTGCTCCAGGCCGAATTCACTATCGCCGACGTAGGGCAGAGCACCATCGGTAATTTATTTATTTGTTTGTTTATTTTTTACACACACACACACAACTATCATTACAGGCTAACCCAATGCGATAGTGTAGCCAAATATCATAAAATAGTCGAAACACAAATTAAAACCAATTAAACCCAATAAAAATCATACTTGTAATTTTATACGTAACATGTCACGTAATGGCTACTGTGTTAAAATCATTTCTATGGCATGAAAACAGGTCAATTCTGTCGGCAGTTCATGTTTGTAAGATAGAGATGCACCGACGACAATGGTAGCCGATTTGTTTTTATACTTTTTTGTTTATTTTGTCTATTTTTAAAAACAAAATAATAAACAAACATTGTCGTATACTGTGACATAAGTTTTATCTATTGAAACATACCCAAGCAACGCTATTAATTGCCTTGTTACTTGGTACTTAAAACAGAGTTGTTGAAACCTATTGCATTTATCACTAAAAAGGCTCATATTGAAATATCATACACGATCAATATGAAGTTCGACTAGACTAACTAACACTCATAACTTTCGAAAAACTAAATGAAAAAGTATAAATATTTAAGCATTTTTCAATCTATGGATCACAATATTCACCTTCACGATACTTTTGCACTACGAGTACATAACGTTATCAATATTTATTTTAATTTAAATTTTCAGAGGTTCTACATCTTTCAAAGCCCGTCACTGGCAGCCCGTTCACTTGTGAATCGTTCGATCCGAATAAAGTCGTCGTGTCTGGTCTTCCCACTGGGAATATCATTGCGCAAACTCCAATCAACTTCACAGGTTTGACAAACTTCATTTTGCTACTCCTGGATAGTTAATAGAATAAATTTATATTACTAATTTCCTTTATGCTTCTTCTTATTGGTATTCATGTCGTACAGTTTAAATGCGAAGAATAGGTAAATAATGAATGTTGATAGCAGAGAAACGAGAGAAACGAGGAAGTACATAACTCTTCCACTTCACGTCGATCTTCTGTGAGGTCGCGGTACATACCCGGTCGGAGTGCCGACCGAGTTGCGTGGCCCTACCACGGGTTTGCGTTGATTCGTAGTTGCCCAACAAAGATCCATCTATGTTTCAGTCGACACCAAGGAGGCGGGCGTGGGCGAGCTCGAAGTGGTCTGCGAGGCGATGGGCGAGCGGCGAGTCCGGATGCCGGTCGACGTGCGCGAAGACGGGCACACGTACCGCGTGCGGATGCGCCCGTCCGCGCCCGCGCACTACCGCATCTACATCGCATACGGCGGTAAATTATTCGCCAACGCCAATACTGTCGCGCTATTACTGTTAGGGACGTGATTACCTCAGGTTTTAACCGACTTCAAAAGGACGAGGTTCTCGAGTCGACTGTATTTTTTTTTTCTGTTTGTTACCTCAGAACTTTCGGCTGAGTGGACCGATTTTATGATTCTTTCTTTATTTGAAAGCCGGTGCCGGTTCCCATGTCGTCCCATATAAATTTCATTGGTATTGGATCTTGGGCTTCGGAGATACTTAGGGAACTTCTAAAAATCAATTATAAAATGAATACGAAGAGAGATACTCGAAGTCGGTTTTGTACAATAATATACTAATAAGACTGCAATGTTTCTCTCCAGTTTCTAATAAACTTGAAGTTCATAAAAGATTCAAATTAGAATTAATCAAATGAAGAAATTGCGAGTTTGAAAGTGGTATTGCCAAATACGTATGTATCATTAAAATTCGTCGAAAGGAAAATGGACGAAAAATTTTTCGCCGCTGCGGGAATCGAACCCACGTCTCCCTGATTGTGGCTCAGACGCTTTAACCACTAAGCTAAACGGATCGTACATGTATTCTTATAAAAGATTGGCCGATTGCCGCACCGACAGAAACCTCAACGTATTTCATCTTATACCTTTAAACGAGCAATTCTTGTGTATATATATATATATATATATATATATATATATATATATATATATATATATGTATATTTATCAGATATAATCGGAATCTCGGAAACGGCTCCAGCGATTTTCATTTTCGGTATGTGCGTAGATTCGGGGGCGAAAAATCTGGCTAGGTTTCATTTTTAGAAAATGTCGTTTTATCCCAGTTTTCAGGGAATAAAAATTATCATTCAAATACGACGGTAAATTTCACCGAAAAAAATGTTATAATAGCTCGGTCGGTAATCAGGCGGCACCGAAACAAAAGTCCGTGGTTCGTGTCACGATCATTAACACACTTATTTTTTAACTTTTTTTTAGATTTCCAGATCATTGCTTTCTTTATTTTTTATTTTTATGTCGATCCAGATGATTTTGTTATTTTTTGTATTTTAATGTAATTTCCAAAATAGATGATTTATCAAAAAAAAAAAACAAACCGAGCAAAGCTCGGTCCTCTAGGTACTCTACATTTATACACACGCGTGTGTGTGAGTTGGCACTGATATATGTATGCGTGCAACAGGGGCCCAGGTGCTCGGCAGTCCGGTGTCGCTCGGCGTGCTGAGCGCGCGGAGCAGCGCGGCCGCACGATGCGCCGGAACGGGGCTGGCGCACGCGCACGTGGGCAAGGAGGCCGCCTTCACCATACACTGCGCGGACGACGCCACGCCCACCGTGCAGGTATTATTTTTGTGTTTGTGTTTTGCGTACCCAAGTATCACAGTGCCGTGCATCCAGTACCCAACAGTGGAAGGGACGCACTGAGTGCAGATTCAGTGTGGAGGGGGTTGGGTAGGAAGCCGGAGCCCAATTTTCTGAAGGCGGCATTTGCTTAACATCAGCTGAACCGTCTGTCCGCTTGGCAACTTTCACATAAAAAAAGTCCCTACAACCACTGCGACGTAGAACTGTCTGTTGTCGTCTTCTCTTCGGAAATATTACCCCCTTACTGTATGACAGGATTACGTGTTTATTGCACACATATATACTTTGATTATTGTGTTGCTTTTTATTAGGACGAATCAATTATCTGTGGGTCGTACATAGTTGTCTCGCGTGGGAATCGAACCACGGCACTGCAGCCAATACATTGGCAACTGCGCCATGGAAGCATCGCCAAGAAGCAGCGTCTATCTTGACACCTGCACGTGAATAAGGATCAAATATCTAAGAAAGGGCTCTATCTATCTAAGGGCAATTAATTAAAATATATCCCATACTTTTCCGTAATCCCCGCACGACGGCAGACCTCGTGATTATTTTATTTATTTTCTTGCTACCAAAGTTGTTACAGTAATGTATGTATCTGTATACTAAACAGGTGGAGAGACTAACTGAAAGCAAAGAAGACGAATCGGATACCGGTCTATTAGAGTGTCGAGTAGCGGCTGGGGCTTCCCGCGAATGGCTTTGTGCCTACATACCGCTTGTTGTCGGTCTCTACGAGGTCCGAATATTCACCAGCACCGGTCCCTTACCGGGCAGCCCATTCTCTGTCAAGGTAAATAGCACCCTATCACCTACCGTATAAGTTAATTTTGCCTTACCCGTTTATAATGACACTTTGTATCACAGGTCATAGATACATCGGCGATTGTTCCGGTCGGAGGCTGGGGCACGGATAACTCGGGCAGAGTGCGTGCCCCGTCCAAACTCGTTTTGGATATCAGTAACGCTGGGCCCGGAACTCTAGAGTGCCTACTCGCTGGTAGACATCAACGTAAGTAGATGGAGAATTTGAACTATGGTAGTAGGTAGTATAGGTTTAGTTACAAACTTAAAAAAAGTGCCGAACATTTCATTGAACTCGCCTTTGATAAGAAGTCAGGATTTTTGAGGGTTTAAAATTATTTAATAACAAATTTTGAAATCAGCATTTATGAATTTGCATACACCTTTCAAATTTTAATACAAAAATATTTTTATTACATAAAGTTAGTTCCCAGGAATTCTACTTACAAGCTCGCATTTATAACTTTAATTACACTGTTCGATTAAATTATATGTTTCAGTCTAAAGAACTATGTAAAACTTAATCTAACACCGAGCCTGTAGAAAGGTTATTCTCCCACTTCTCCATCGATAGCGTTCATCGCCATTCCTCCTTATTTTTTTCTGTTTTTGCTTTATTATTATTTTTTAAACATTGCCCTTACTGTAAGGTTATGTGGACCTGTGTTGTGTGGACGTTTAACAAACCGAGAACCCAAACAATTATCTGTGGGTTGCACAAATAGTTGTACCGTGTGGTAATCGACCCACGACGCCGGTGCCGAAACCAATACTGGCAACTGCGCCGCGGGGTCATCAAACTTTACGTCTGGCAGGCGTGGAGACGGTGTCGGGCAGGGCGGTGGTGACGCTCGCCGCGGCGGAGGGCGTCAGCGGCGAGCAGGAGCTGGAGCTGACGTACAACGGCGCGCTGGTGGGCGGGGCGCCGCGGCGGGCGCTCGCCGCCTCGGGCAGCACCGCCGACCGCGTCACGCTCGCCGGCCGCGGGCTCGCGCACGCCGCGCCGCACACGCCCGCCGTCTTCACCATCGGTGCGTGTACCGCACGCGACCGGTTATATCCGGATCGAGTCGGATCGATCACCCGACCTGTCGGACACTGTTTTTATGTTTTGTTTTTATTTCGACGTCGAGTCCTATTTATCAAGTCTGCAAGTGACCTACAAAAGAAAATTTAAAACAAGTTCATTAATAAATAAAAAAAAATATAATTCTGCTTATATAAACAAATCGTAAATCTGCGATTGAAAGAAACTTGAATTGAATTTTCGACTTCAAATTTGTTCCGCCTTTAAAGACGTTCTATTTATAAAGCTCACCCGCCTCCTTCATTATATTCAAATATGTTTGATAGCATCGCTTGATACAGTCGTTTCCGATCTGTAATCACTTCCTACTACGTTTATTTTCTACGCTGCTAAAGTCTTGACATAATAAGATACCAAATCCGTCCCTGTCCGCAGACGGCAGCGCGGCGGGCCCCGGGGCGCCCGAGGCGTCGCTGGTGGCGGCGGACGGCGGCTCGGTGCCGGTGGCCCTGGCGGCGGCGGGGCCCGGCCTGTGGCGCGCTTCGTACACGCCGCGCCGCGCCGGCGAACACCAGCTGCGCGTGCTGTGGGCAGGCCGCCTGGTCAAAGGTGCGCCCGAGCGGTGGAACTGGCCGGCAAATTGTTTTTTTTTTTTTTTGCGTTTTTTTTTTTTTTTTTTTTTTTTTTTTTTTTTTTTGCGCACGTCAGTGCCGTCGTGCCGTCATCTCATGTTATTTATTACTAAAAATATGGAATGCTTCACGATTATATGATATATTTTTGGTATGACCACGCAGCAGCCTTGACTGTTGCACGAAGTGGCTGGCTCGTCCAACCGCACACCACAAGACCGGCGTGAGCTGGAAGTATGATACTTTCGCGTCGTAGTATGATTCTATCTGGTAGGTGTGGTAGCCGGAGCCTAATTTTCAATAGGTTTTCAACGCATCTAGAACCCTCGGGTGTAGCAGATGTCCATGGGCGGTGGTATTCACTTAATACCAGGTGAACCGCCTTGCTTGGCAACTTTTCTTTGAAGTGCAGAGATTAGCGCTATGAAAAAAAAAACATTAATTATTATAATTAACTTGTTTATAGGCTGCCCGCTTACTGTGAACGTGGCAGCGGGCTCCGAGCAGCGGCGACGCTTCGCGTGTGGTGTGCTCTGGGGCGGGGCTCGCGGGGGGCGTGGTGGGCCGCGAGATGCGCTCCTGGATAGACACGCGGCGAGCTGGACCCGGCGAGCTGACCGCGCACTGCACCGGCCCCAACAAGGTGCGTTGCAACGCGAAATGCACCTTACGCCTATGCTATAAGGCCGACTGTAATTGACTAACAAATAGCTGGGAGATAAAAAGTGTGAACACAAACTTGCATATTATGTCGATGCTTCCACTGTACTGTTGGTATTATGTCATAATTCCCCTCTCTTTCGCTCTCTCTCTCTCTCTCTCCCCCTCCCCCTGTCTCTCTCACTCTCTCTCTCTCTTCGTTGATAAATATGCACACCCCTCTCCTCGTTGACTATCACTCTCAATCTCTGCGTACATATCAAAGCTCAATATTAATACAGGTGGCGTACTGCGAGCTGTACGAGCACGGCGACGGCACGTTCACGCTGAACGTGAAGCCGGCGGAGGCGGGCAGGCACGTGCTGAGCATACAGTTCGCCGGCGAGCACGTGCCCGGGTCGCCGTACGTGCTCAAGGTCGCCGGCGCCCCCGACCCCTCCAAGGTAATAAACTTGACCATGTATGCTTGGATATGCACCCGATTGAGATGAACACAATTTTAAAACAGAAATTCGCTTTTAAACTACTCTATATCTGAAAGGACAATGTTTAAGTAACAACGGCAAACTTTGGCGTCACCGAGAGGCTAATATTTTTCCCCTGAACGCCGCCCACCGTGATACTTGTAAATTTTGAATTGCGCAGTGGCTCGAGACTAACTTCAGCGGCGCATTAAATTTTGTTAGCCGTGTATTGTGTGTACTACACATTTAAATTAAGAATTATATAATTAATAATTACATATTAAGCCCTATCGACCGTAATGGCATATAATAAATGAGCTTCTGTGGTCTGGTCGCTCATGTCTGTTCCCGGCGTGAGGACTACAGAACTTAATCTAAAAATGCCCACTAAAATGTGTGTCCGGTTTTGAGGTAGGGCTGTCCCTGATCAAAAGTGTTTCATTGGAGACAGCCTTAACTACTGCAGTAGCGGTGAATATAGGTAGGGCTGTCTCTTATCAAAACTGTCTCATTGGAGACAGTCCTGTCAACTGCACAGTCGGTGAATATAGGTAGGGCTGTCTCTGATCAAAAGTGTTCCATTAGAGACATTCGTGTCAACAGCACAATCGGTGAATATAGGTAGGGCTGTCTCTGATCAAAAGTGTTCCATTAGAGACAGTCCTGTCAACAGCACAATCGGTGAATATAAGTAGGGCTGTCTCCGATCAAAAGTCTTTGTCCTTGAGCCATGTCGACCGTAATGGCGGAGAATAAAAGAGCCTCTGCGTTCAGGTGCGCGTGTACGGCCCCGGCGTGGAGCCGGGCGTGCTGGCCACGTTCCAGTCGCGCTTCCTGTGCGACACGCGCGGCGCCGGCGCCGGCCAGCTGACGGTGCGCGTGCGCGGCCCCAAGGGCGCCTTCCGCGTCGAGATGCAGCGCGAGAGCCAGAAGGACCGCACCATACTGTGCAAGGTGAGCGCCACCCGTAAATAGTTACTACGCTGACACTTATTTCTTAGTGCTACTGTACATAGTAGGGCCACACAACACTGTTGCACGAATGGACAGGTCCGTCCGGGTAAGTGCCACGATCTTATAGAAGACCGGCGTGGAGTAGAAGTGTTACACTTCTGCGTTTCGTCTGGTGAGTGAGGTAGCCGGGGCTTACTTTATTTTAAAGGTGGCAAAGCATTTGCAACCCTACGGGTTTGGGGCAATGTTATCATGGGCGACGTGTATCCCTTAACATCTGTGGAACCGCCAGCTCGTTTGCCACTTTCTAACATTAAAAAATAAGTATTCCCAAAGGGTAAAACGGATCTCTATTACTAAGACTATGTTTATGTAATCTCTTACAATCACATAATATGTCATATAATGTAAAGCGGAACAAATTTTAAACGGCGCGCAGTATGGACATCAATCGGCGGCATCCATCCATATTATTGAACATCATGTATATAAGAGTTTAAACGTTATTACTTTGATTCTAATATTTTACCTATTTCTGAACTTGAATATTGGCAACTATTATAACGACAAGCAGCATTAGTGTTATATCAGCCTCCGGGAACGCAGCGGAAAAGCAAGCGATCGCTGCTCCGGGCGACCATGTGCCTCTTCGCTCGAATAGATGACGTCATATCCGGTTCAGTGTTGCCAGCGACAACACATTGTTTAATAATAAAACAAAACCTTTCAATGTTACTCGAAGTGTCCCGTCCCTCGTTCCAGTTCTCACCCACCGAACCCGGCGATTACCGAGTGGAGGTGCGCTGGGCCGGCCGCCACGTGCCCGGCTCGCCGTTCCCCGTCATGATATTCGACACGCAGGAGGAGCTGCGCAGATACCTGCAGTCCATCGCGCCCTAGTTCGACAAACAGCTCGGCCGCACTTGAATATCGGCGCTTCGCAACCATTAAATTCATTAACCGACTTCAAAAGGAGGATTGTTAATTATTATCTGCTCTCAATTCGACTGTATTTTTTTCTATGTTTGTTACCTCGTAACTTTTGACTGAGACAACCGATTTTAATGACTTTTTTATTTGAAAGCCGGTGCTTCCCGTGTGGTCCCATATAAATTTCATTGGTATTGGACCTTGGGCTCCGGAGATACTTAGGGAACTGAAAATCAATTATAAAATGAATACAGAACGAGATATTTGAAGTCGGTTTTGTTTTTCGTTAGTAAAAAAATGTTTATATATATGTCGAGTAGTGTTTTGAACATTGTGAGTTTTGAGAATTGAACGAGTTTAATGCTAGCGACGGGCTGATTGACGTCTAAAGTGCGGCTGAAATTTTGCATTGCCATCTTGAAAAATCCATGTGTGTGTGTGTATTAGTTTTCCGTTCGAATCTCTTTGTGTCTAACTCGTTTTTAACCCGCTGTCTATCGTTTCTTATAACGATTAGAAGTCTGAAATACTTTTTTTATTTTCTAATTTATTATCTAGCTTTAAAATTCAACTAACGGTATATAACATTATTATTATTCACTATGTATGAACATGGTATAAAGCATAATATAATTCAAAGGTATACGGAAATACGTTATAAGTATGAGAACAGAACCAGTGTTACCGAATAAATATTTAAAAGAAACTGCTTATCTGGGATTTTATTTTTTATTGCTATATTCTTGTCTCTTTCCTAATAAGGTAACACTGGTATATCCTAAACATTAATAGTTAATTTTGCAGGTACATTTGGTTATAACTGAGGACAAAGTTAATAAGAACTTACACCTTTATTAAAAAAAAAAATCTGTAATGTTTTCCTAAATTTAATACAGAATACAATATTTTTATATAAAGTACATTCCGATGTTAAAGTAACTTTAAGAAAGTAATATGCAATTGTTTCTTTGTTAATATTTATTTTAACGGCATTTAGGTTAAGGCGTCTTAACTTTTGTAACTAACAAAAGCACTTGTCTCTTTGTTATTACTTGTTCGAGTTCGCGTGATTTTGTGAAATCGACCAAGTAAACTCGCTGAATAATTCAGTTACTAATTGTTAATAAATTGAAACTTATTTTAATGTTGTTTTATTTACTCGCCTTCTTTGAAAAACCCAACACACATATTTCATTCACTGTTTTTTATAGAAAACAGTAAATGAAATATGTGAATAAAATAAGTTGTATACTAGCCAAGTTAGCTAGTTTAAATAACAACACCAAAATTTTATATAATTGGATCGAAAACTGTTTTAAAAAAATCAAATAAAAACAATTTTAACGCTGAAGAGGCAATTAATCTCTTTATATTTTATAGCGGGTATTAAATGCAACGTAGTTGTTATGTTTATGGGTGATTTCTAGAAATTCGGAATTGTAGTAAGCAAATGAATAAATTGATAATTCAAAATATATGACAACAAAATGAGCTTCATTAGGATCTTGCTGTAATAATAAAACGTACCGTAGTAGGTACAGTAGGGTATCTACTGTACCTACTACGGTACGTTTTAAATAATAATCATGAGAAATCACTGATATTATAAGTACATGTTCATTGTTCAGACAGTCGAGTTGATTAAAATTCTTAGGTAAAAGCGGAGTGATTAGAGTAAAATGCGTTATTTAATGTCATTTGACAATGAAATAATTATAAAACAAAATATATTCGTAGATATATTGCAGTTCTTCATATTCCGTTAGGTTTATATCTGAAAGTCACAGTGCGTCGATCTGGATAGGACGTGTAGGAACTACCCGCCAGTTGTGCCCGCAACGCGTCCAAACTCTGCCACAGTTGCTGCATCTGACCAAATATGATCACTTCTAAGCGCTGGATTGAGGTGTGGAGCTCCCCTGGGAAATTATGGTTCACACTTTAAAAACGAGCGTCTCGATAAACTGCAACATTTAGATAATTCTAATCCCATTTATTAATATACTTCGTTATACCATTTACACTTGAATATTCATAACGTTGTTATTTACGTTAAATATAGATAATGTGGTAATATAGATAATATGTGGTATTTACGTTATTAATGTATTTACTGAATGATGAATGAAAAGACGAATTCTCTTCATTCGATCAATACTTATATATTTTTATTATTTAGGTTCACCAAACTTAATGTTGACGAAATATATTTTTATGCAGTACATAGTACTAGCTTAGCACAGCAATCTATCAAGCTAACTTTCGGACTTTCCGCAATGTATCATCGTAATATCATCTTATTATGATTTCCTAATTTGAAAATTTTATAAGTTTCCTTAATATTTAGACAACGTTATCAAAAGTACGATAAATCGAAAACTGGGAGAATTGGAATTTGATTAATAGGTTTCTCAAAGGAAAGTCGCTTCAAACGAAAATATTAATCATTCCCTTTGTCGTATAGCTAATGACTTGAACGTCACGGTCGATTAAATCTGCGGTGCGACAGGCGAGTGATCTGAGTTAATTTCGTTTCCAAGTTATATGGGTCTGAGAGAGGTCTTTTACTTTAATCTTCGATATGGAATTCTAAATTCAAATTTGCAACAATTTTGCAGTCTACTATGGCATTGAAAGTGATGTTGGCTATAATATATCAAATATCTTCTCCCCGCAAAAATATGTTTGATTATATGTAATTCAACATCTCACTTGACGTAACAACTCCATGCAGCCTCCTAGTGATAGTGGCGTTGGCAGTAGCGTTGATCTCGTGAGTTTTGACAGAGCACATGGCACGCGCCTCCTCTCTTGGCCCGACACCATGGTACGTCACATTACGGACCTCAATGTACGGCTGCCTGCTGAACTCAGGTGCCTTACTTATTGAATATTGTGGACCCCTTGCTAAAATCAAAAAAATCCGTACTGCAATAACCCTCGTCTGAGCTAATATTTCATTATTTACAATATATGAGTAACAAAGCATGGTGTGTTTGTTTGTTTAGATTTCAATAATTTAATACAATCGGCCAGAAAGAAAGATTAGTAAAGCTATACTTGTAAAGAGTGTATGTTCCCATACATACGAAAAATATTTTTCCCCAGTTATTATGCAAACCTCAAATAGACGCCAGCATGGTCAAAGGTCGTTGTGAAATGTAAATCTTATTATAATTACGAAAAGTGGGTTAATTAAATGTTCTTCATTTATATTTGATCACAATTGATCTGCACATATGAAAGTAAAGTATCAGCCAATACATGTCCCACTGCTGGGTAAAGGCCTCCTCATTACTGAGGGTATTAGGGCATAGTTCACCACGCGACCCCACTGCGGATTGACTAACTTCGAATATCTTCAAAATATTTCTTGTTACTATTTCGAAAATATGCGGATTTCCTCCCAAAGTTTTCCTTCAATGCTCAGCACGTGATAACACAAATATAAAGCCGGTGATAGAATTTTAAACATAAGATAAAATTTAAAAAATAACAGGACCATATTGTTGTGAAGTCCGTAACTAGTCGTTTTAAAGTGTTTTGAATTATTTTATTTTCTATTTACGTACAGACAATGATGAACTAGTGACTAGAATGTCCGTCATGTGGTGTTAAGGCCGTGGGTTAGCCTCACAGTGTCGTGCACTCATGACTTCTGTTTTTTCGGGTTTCTTCCTTTACTTTGAGATTAAATATCCTGGATTAAATACCGTGGATATCAGTATCCCTATCTATCAAATCATAAAACGTGTTCTATTTTGTTTACTAATATGTATTATTTTATGCATTAAACAATTAACAAGATGGTTCAAGGTATCTCTTATAAATAATTATAGAGATTGGTAATAAACACAATTAATAATTACTAGTGTCTTAATTATTGGTCTAAATATGAAAATAATCTGTTTTGCGTAGCTGCATGTAACAATAACCTATGGTATAAAGAAAGATATAACTTATCGGACGTTACGCAAATTTTAGAAAAATTACTTCATTTGAGCGGTTGCTAAGAAACCAATTATGCCGCGGATCATGGATTCCTTTCCCACACGGGGCAGATATTATCTGATCAACAGATAATTGTTTCAGTCCTGGATGTTTGTGCTTTTTGAAAGTTATGTTTGTGCCTTTATAACATTGAAATATGTTTTCATACAGAAGGAATAAAGCCTACTTTTAAATAAATCAGGATGAATATCAAAATATAATTAAAATTATCTATCGTCTTCATGTAGTTTACGATGCTTCAGTAATGTAAATCATAAACGAGTTTTTCATATCATCAGAAAAAACTAGACCAAATAACGTGCAGGTCAATCAAGAGTCAATTGTGAACCAGTCACTACTCATTCAACTTTAGGCTGTATGAAATATAGATTGCAATAATTTTAAACACCATGAAATTCTTAAGATCACAATTAAAAATGTACATAACATTTTAATTGTTATTTAATTTTAAGTATTCGTAAGTAAAGCAATCGATACAGTATTTAGCTACGCGTAATAAATTTATTTTCAGTTTATAAAAATTGCAAAACAAAACCGAAATGTATTTTCAATAAAAGCAACACTGTTATGTTCACATTTTATGAAAAAATATTCGTGTTAATAAAATAATCATAAACTTTCAATATTAATGCCCGTCGTTTCTCTTGTAGAATATTTTTCAGCAATAAATTATCGACAAGAAACACCTAAGCATTCGGCAAAAAGATCTGAGATATTTAGCTGAAGGTATCTATTGTATGCTTATTTATACCTAATAATAATGAGAAAATTTTAAATAAGTTTAACGAAATGCAGTAAGCTTAAATTGTGACTATAAGTAACCTATTTTACATTTTAATATAAGACTGTTTGGAAAACTTACACAATAAATTACAGGATTGTTATATAAATAAAAATACTTACTGTAAGTGTTGGTTGGAGCAGCGTTAATTATTATGAAGAAAGCATATAAAATTATAAAAAAAAGAGCTGCAGTTCGTAACATTTCTTTTAACGTGTCTGAATAGAATAATTGACACGAAATTCTTCGACAGAATTTTATAAATATATGAAGAGTATCTCGTACTATTTATTTTAATTCGTATCGACGGTAACTAACTTCGGTGGGCTTTTCGTCAAGCCGCGTGTGTGGTTGAGGTCAGAGCGGGTACTGAACGAAATTACGAAACGAAATCAGTGTGAGGAGAATAAATAGCTGCGATAGATGCAGATTCTGCGCTACCAAATATTCAACCTAAGCTATTGAGATACATACCTGCTTATTGAATTTTAAACACTCCGCACATAATACATACACAAAATAGAAACCTTTTAAGCTTTGTTCAGAATTGTTAAGGGTATACACCACACGGATATAAAGTTAATTTACAAAAATTAGAAAAGAGTACAAGTCAGTCATTTCATGAATGTAATGAGAATTTAAATTAAAATAACATTTTAAAAGAGTAGTTATATTAGCAATTTTGGAACAGTTACAAAATTTGTATCGATACACATTATTTACCCTCGCTCTTTGAGCTTTGTAAAATTTACACGGAATAGTAACAGATTCCACGCCATGTTCTTAATTCCTCGGAATATTAGCAAAGCCATGTTAAAATCGCTTCTTGAGTAAACAAATTGGCGGTCTCTCGACTTAGGGTACATGGATCAATGCTAGGGTGGTATCTGAACAGCTGAAGTAAAAGACGCTAAAAGGCAAGTATCTTTTTTTTTTTTAATCTCAATTTTAACTATGTATTATATGCTATAGCAACCCATTTTGTGATTTTTTTTATTCTCGCCTTATTCCGTCCTTTTTCCGCTCATAGCTCAAGCACAGCCAATCAGCAAGGAAATGGCTTTGTTGGCACCATACCACGAGTAGTACTTTATGAGAGATAATTTTTCACATTTGAAAGCAATAAACAATATTTGAAAAGAACATTCAAGCTTTCGTTATGAAAACTTTCTTTCAAAATTTGGACTTAGGTTAAACATAATATGTTGAAAGTTTATTGAATTATTCAACTAAACGTGAAAATATAAAAAAAAATTATTCGTATTCGTGATATAATAACGTATGCCTTTATTGTTTTAATGTTCTTTGAATTTTTTAATTTAGTCAATATATGCATGTGCATATGCTATATTTAGGGATTAAATTATAACATCTAATCATATTTGTATACCACGTAATGGTTGTACGAGTAAGACAAACGTCAGATTACCTTTCCATCTTTGGATTTAAAAATATGCACCTAGTATTTTCGTTAAAACCTAGTTTTATGGTACATTTTTAAGGTAACATTTTAATGTAGATCCCTGAATGACTGAAATGCTATGATTTATTTAAGAAAAAAATTAAAGACCCGATTAAAGACCAGTACTAGTACCAAGCATGTTTCAAGCCTCTTTAATGGCTTCATTGTAGAGTCAAAACACTATATTCATTCACGCAATGTGAAGCGTCAAAATCGTCAGCGACATGCTTGTATTACACATGTCATTTAATTACAGTACCTACTCAGAGCGCTTCCTTCAGTCATGCTCCATTTAAGAGATCAGTCAACGACCTATTTTTAAGGCCATGAACTCCGATATCCTAATATGTACATACAAATACCAGATCCCATCATCTAAACAGGGCAAACGGCTTAAAAGATTCAACGCACGTTCGCTAATTTTTTATATCTAATCTATGTCATGTGATTCATAGATTTTATAGTTTAGTTTGTTATTTAATTCATGACGTCACATCTTAAGTTCACTTTTTAAGCGAGAAGAAGCAAAAATGGACATTAAACAACTTACAAACAAGAAAGAAATTGTTTTGTTAATCTATATAGATATAAACGACCATAAATTATTCGTTTTGGTAATTATATAATACTAGCGGACTAGGCAGACGTTTCCTTACTAGGCAGACGTACACACGACTTAAATCCGATAACTTAAAAAAATGTAAATCTAAACCATTCTCGAATCGACCTGAACACACAAAAAATTTCATTATAATCGGTCCAGCCGTTTAAGAGGAGTTCAGTGACATACACACGCACAGAAGAAATATATATATATATATATATATATATATAAAGATAACCGACTAATAGTTTTATTGCTTATTTAAATTTAGGATACACGGGATAAATATTGTTACGTGTTAGGGGTTCGAAGGATAACGATGTCCTATTTTGTAGCCAAGTCGTAGGTTTCACTGGTATCGCTCTTGATCACTAGTTTTCACTCCGAAGTCGCCTCGAAGGTAGCTCAAACTGAACTGTCTTGTCTCGCCTCTCTGCGGCTTTTTATATGGGCCGAGACGAGCCCCAGACTATTCCAGAAAGTTCCTTCCTAAAACGTACCTGACATGCGCGAACATGATCGCGATTCCGGAAAGTTCGCGAATGTACCCGGTTTTCGAGACTATAGTTACACAGCAGTTCCTTTAACGCCATCTAGTATTGAATAGGGGGTTTTATGTCGTCTTTGTTCTTTAGTGGGTTTACTAGTTGACGCTAGATGGCGTTAGTTCCTTTGTGTGTTCATAACACTACTCCCCTCTTAGAGATGCTCGTCCCGAGCATCATTGTTACTGCCATGGTAACGCGCCAAACGGTCTATGTGTACCACTTTGAATGTCCCTCTTGGTTGCTTTTGAATCCTATAAGTCACATCATTCAGTCGGTCCCACTTGGTCTGCAACTTTGGGGATTTCCCTTTCCGAACGAGTTGGGTTATGCAGCCACACCAGTGACCCTTCCTCGAAGCCGTCCGTGTTCGATTTCCGGTCGTATCTGGTTTTCATGTTCTCACTTGACTGTAACCCATTTTCCCGAACCAAGGCGTGTATATAGCGCATTTTTTCCCTTAAATTGCAGACATAGTCTTGTACGGTCTCTGGTCCCTCCGGTGACCCTCCTATCAATATGTCTACTGGTAATCGTAGTTCTCTCCCGTAATTGACATACGGAGGGGTAGCTTTTATGCTCTCATGCTCGGCGGTTCGGTACGACAGAAGGAAGAGTGGTAGATAATTGTCCCAATCCTTTTGTTTGTCGTCTACCAATTTCGCCAGATGCCTCTCAAGGGTCTGATTAAATCTCTCAACCATTCCATCAGACTGTGGGTGGCAGGCAGTGGTCCTCGTCTTATGCATGCCCAAAATTCTACACACTTCCTGGAATACTTGCGATTCGAAGTTCCTGCCCTGATCGGAATGGATTTCTAGAGGCACACCAAAGCGACATATCACTTCTTCGACTAACTTAGAAGCGACTGTTGTAGCTTCTTGGTTTGGTATGGCGAACACTTCGGGCCATTTGGTGAAGTAGTCCATGACGACCATAAAATACTTGTTACCCGATTCCGTTACAGGAAATGGCCCAGCTACGTCAACTGCGATTCGTTCCCACGGTGCACCGACGTTATACAACCGTAGGTTCCCACGGCTTCTGGTCTGTGGTCCTTTTACAGCAGCGCAAGTAGTACATTTGCGGCACGAATCCTGTACATCATCTCGACAATGCAACCAGTAGAATCGTTCTCGCACTTTTGTTAACGTCCTCTTGACACCTAGATGACCTCCCGATACGCCATCATGTATTTCACGGAGACCATCTGGTACTCTCGTTTTCGGGACAATTATCTGAAGATGGAACTCTCTGCCGTTAGTCTTCTCCCATTTCCGGTAGAGTATTCCGTTTTGAAGTATCAGACTGTCCCATTGCGCCCAGTACGCCTTAGTGACATCGCCAGTGAGTGCAACCTCACTCCAGTTTGGTTTTACATCGCCCCGCTTCTTCCATGTGATGATGTGCCGAAGGTCGTCGTCCCTTTCTTGAGCCTCCCTCATAGCATCATTCTCCCAGAGACCCAAAGGACTGGTTCTCGTTAGCTTTAATGCTACTTCATTAGATTCCTGCTTGACGCAATGTTTGTGTCTACTATCTTGGTGTCGGCTCTTGGGTGTGCCTTCCTGACGAGTTTTTCAATTTCCAACGCCCATTGTTGTAGTCCTTCTCCTGAGCGTTGGACTCGGTCACGCAGTTGGGCACGGAACACGTGCTCCAGGTATCGCTCCCCGTATCTGGTTTCAAGTGCCTCCATCAGGTCTTGGAACCCATTTCCTGTACGTGGCAGTGCTTCCAGGACCGACAAAGCTTGCCCTCTAAGCGCAACAGTAAGAGCGGTCAGGCATTGCCCTTCTGTCCACCCGTTGGCAGTAGCAACAGTCTGGAATTGCCGACAATAAGCGTGCCAAGAAGTAGTGCCGTCGTATGGCGGCACTTTCACTCTTGGTCCTTGTGCCACTCCAGTAGTGCCACTAGACATCGCGACTCCCGTGGTTTCAAGGCGCACTACTTTCTTCTGTAGTTCAGTGAGGCCGGTTTTCACATTTTCGACGTCCAATCCTAACCCGGTAACTCGTTCTTCCACTACATCGACATCTTTTCGAAGCTTAATCACGGTGCTACTAACATCATTTATAGCCCAAAAAAATATAAATTTCTACTTCAAATATTACCAGTTTCTCCAGATTGGGCTATTTTACCCAATTTCAAATAAGAAATAGCCAACCTATTTCTTTATTATCTTCCCATCAAGCCTAAGATCTTCTCTAATATGTTCACCTTTGCTCCTGGCATGTCCAACTTATGAATGGTAATTATCTCTCCGACCAAAGACCAGTAAGAGATACAATAGCACTTACACAAACGACAAAGAAAATAAATAAATATCGCATTCAAATAAATGGTTTCAAATGATACGAAACGATTCAAATAAATGGTTTGGAATGATACAATACGAAAATATTCGAGCTATCACAAAGAATACGTAATCTAATAATCTAACACAGGTGTGTTCTCTGTTAGATTAGGTACCGATATAGATACCGTGATAATATTAAAAAAGATATTGATCTAAGCTTGTTAAATATACGAGTAACTCATAAAATACTGTCTGAACGCAACATTCTAAAAAAATGCCTTCTCCACCAGCTAACATAAACAAAATTTCTGTTTTTTATAACGCAGTAAATAAATATTTAACGAAAGACACATTTGTCAAACATAAGAAAATGTGAGTTTACAAAAATCAGTTTCCTTCCCTTATACTTTTACCGTTAAAAGCTATAAGACAAAGATGTTTGAGAATTTAACTCTTAACATACATTTCGAAATTTTTGTTTCTTTTCTTATGAATAGATCGTCTAGAGTAAATTATCATAGTTCTTCGATTGTAGCTCATTCCAACCATGTTTCCTGCAATAAATCTGGACTTAACAATCCGTCTTCCATTGTAAGTGAACAATGTAATGCTTTAATATAAGCCATATATTATATTATGTAATTCTATTACCCGTATTTTTAGACATAGAAGGTTTTTTCTATCTATTTAGTAAATAAATGGTAAAAGAGAAGAAACAATAATTGACACCTGTTAGAATATTATCTAGACTAGACTATATTCAAAACATCGTCTAATTTAATGTTTAATCGACTTTTTTTAAATTTCGTACTAACCGCAAACTCTCTTGTATCGCGTAAAGCAAACACATGGTATCTGACATAATTAGAAAATCATGATTACCACGGAGCGACATTGAACTAATACTGTTTGCGTAAACAGTGTTAATCTTGTTGCTATGACTCACCGCCCATAAATATACTTCAACGCATAAGATAAATCGTCTGGGGCCCTTCTCCAGGGTTTCGCTAATAAGGAGATGCCTAAAATATTTTGACCTTTCCGCGGTAGCCATTATCAAATCCAAGATGGGTGTGCCGATGAGCTAACTGTTAGAGCGTTTAGTACATTACCGTAAATCGTGTCAAGGACACAAAACACCCATATAGGTCACGAGTCATTGTCGATCGAGAGCCTTTATCATCATGGGAAAATTAAATTAATTAAATCGATGCAGTGTACAGCCGACGAGAGTACGTGAATCGTGTCGAATAATTGCAACGGAATAAGGTACATAATAAATAGTGCAGCATTGTTAATGGGTCCTTTTGTCCAACACTAAAAGGATCACAATTGTAGTACAACAATTGCGCAGACTATTTGCGTTTTACAGAGCAATTGCCACTATCCTATACCTAATTAAATATGCATTTATTAAAGACTTAAGAACAAAAAAAAGGTGTCGTACAGTGTGTAACGACCTATTAATAATAATAAATATTATTATTAATTGATCTTTATTATGACTAATTAATAATATTTTTTAATAATAAAGATCAATTAAGATGAAAATAAAACGTTTAAGAACGTTTAGTCACAATAAAAGTTAATAATATATACTTAAATTTAAGAAATATAAGTGTTAGTATGAGAAAATGATATTACCAAAAATTGATAAAAAATAGTTAAAAATCACTTAAAATACTCAAAAAAGGATATTTTTTAAAAATATAGCAAGATACGATCACTATTATGTCAATTAAATACAATTCCATACTTAGTGATTTCTAAGGGAAGTATTATGTACCGTGCGGGGACACAATTGTATGATCGTACATATATAAGTACAGAGGTCGATCGCGACTCTTAGTACTATAGTCAAAGTACATTGTATGAACGTCCCATACCAATATCATATAGAAGTAAGGTCTAATGGATAAAAGTAATAATATGTGAAGGCTCAGAGAAAAAAATAATGAATATATAAATATAATGAAGAGCAATGAATGATTTGGGACTTTATAAGACATATTACTATGGAGCTGCATGGTACTTCTGTACGACGATATGGTCTACGGTAAACGTGGAACCATGAATGGATATGTCTTGAGTGGGGGACATATCATCGATAGCTGGTGGTAGTTGGCGTCTTAGTGACCATCACTATGATACGTTGGCTGTCATTCGGCATAGTAAGAGTTTGGTGGTAGTTGGCGTCTTAGTGTGTTGCACTATGATATGTTGGCTATTACTTGGCTTGGGTGGGGGTCCGTTGGTGGTTGGCGTCTTAGTGTTTACGCTATGATACGTCGACTATCATTCGGATCGTGAAAGAGTATGTTTGGACACTTCGTGTGTTCCGAGTATATTCTAAACTTTGTAGCCGAAGTTGATCGGAGTTATATTGGTGTGGTGTGAGGGGGTGTGCCACCTACGCGATAGTCACATTGATGCGTGCGGCTATATGCAGTAATGCGTCTTGTGGTATTTGCGGGGTGATTGCGCCTAATATCATTGCATCGTATGATTCTGGTTGACGGAGGTTCGAGGTGATGATGTCTGCTGTGTATGCGGATAGGCTGTATGTTGGCGTGTTGACCTGCGATAGTTGTATTGATGCATGTTGCATTTAGTGATATTGCGTCTTGCGACATTTGCTGGAGAGACGACGCTATTCATAATGGCCGAGTCTGCGTCTCGGTTTGATGCACATCTCAGTAGATTTGTCCAAGTCGGGTTCCTGATAACGGAACTGCAGACTGTCTGACCTCTTATACGTTTTATCATTATTAACGAATCTCAGTAAAGTTCCCACTGTTCGAACGAATAGTGGCAACTTGCTGGTGGGTGAGACAAACTTGTTCGAAAATACATTATACTCAACGTCAGAGACACTGACAAATAAATATATGTTGCCAATTATAAACCCTTCTGATGGCTAAACATAAAAATCACAACTATGGCTATATCTGACTATTTCAATGGTTGGTGGAGCATATGCGTTTACCTCATGTGGATGGTAGCTGGCGGGAGAAAACCTCTCAAGGCTGCGGCGATGCCGTGCAACGTTTTAACCATACCCTTGGGGTGAGCAGTGACTCATAACGCGCTCTGCGACGAAATGTCGTGCTAACCTTTTTAATGGTGGTGAGTGTTTTCATGGAGCCGTGTGCCTTCCCTACATTTTTTTTAAAATGTGGGGGAGCTGTTGACTTGTATCGGGTATGTGAAATTGATGTGAGCCCTTTTCAAGAGAGAAGGGATATTAGTTTAAAAATTATATTGTGAGCCCTTTACAAGCGTGAGAGGGAGTATACTATATACTCTGAGCCCGTCTCAAGCGAGTCGGGATTAGTTAATAAGAAAGCAATCTAGCATTATCTCTGGCTTATACCACAACTAGTGAATATTTATCTATCCAAGATCCACCTAAAAGAATCAAGTTACTAAATAAACACAACGTAAATGCGGTCCTACCGAACATGACGATCACAATAATATTTCATACGGCTAATTATTACCTTTAGAAAGATCAATAATTTATCCTGGTCACGTAATGATGTTATATGATTTATTCATATAATGGGGGAAAAAATATATAAGTTATAATTATATATACACAATAAAGGGGGGGGGGGTGCGAGTTACAAGTGCATGGTATGTACTGGCATCTTGCGGTGACTTTCCGTTACCAATAGTACTAGCAACAGTTCACCATCATTATTACTACACTGTAACCTATATTTAAATCGATAAGAAAATCCTACTTTCGAAACCATAATATCTATCATAGAGGGTATCGCTATTCTCTAGCTAGATAAATCAATTAAGCCACGATCAGTACTGTGAAGATACATATATATAATTCCAAATAACTATCTTAAAAACAGAAATATTTTAATTTGGACACGTGAACTTTTCAAACATGAAAATTGCCGCAGCTCTTCTTCCGTTGTTAGTTATTGCAGTGGCCGCTACTTGTGGTGTGTAATAAATTTTATATTAAATCAAAAACGTTAATAATTTAATGTGAAAAGGAAGTATCTAAGAATTGATACCGTGTTAGGAAGATCTTGAAGTACAAAACCAAATTAAATATTTAATTTATTTTCAGATGAAAATTTTAAATGTCGATTCGAAGTGGAAGCAGTAATAAGTCAGCTTTTCGAATTGCTGAGACAGTTGATTAAAGTGGGCAGCTTGGAAAATGATGTCCCTGTTCTGGATCCGTTTCAAAAAGAATATCAGGAGGTAGTTTTAGCAAACGATAAATTTAGGTAAGCGCTTTTAATCACATATAAATACCATTTTTGTTCATAATAACAACATCATACTATGACTGTCGAACATTTCGTAGGAAATTAAAAACAAAGCAAACGCGTAAAATCCGTTTAAAAGTTTTATTTAAGAAAACGAATATTTAAGAAAACGAAATAGAAAATGAAGTATTTATCAGGAATTTGTCTCTTTTGCCCAAAGCAGGCGTACCGCAGGTCAACTTTATAGTATAGTAGCTACCATAGAAAATTAATAAATACATTTACTTTATTGTTTCAATATATTTGTAACAAAAATTTTTGAATCCGTCCGACTGACTTGGTACATAACTGCTTTCTTTATAGAAATTATACTGCTTTCTGTATAACTGCAATAGAATGACCGTACAAAGTCCGTGTAAAAAATTGGTATTTGAAGAATTTTTTATGTATTTCATCAATTCCCAATACTTTGTATAACGTCGACTTCAATATTTTTTTCACAAAAATTGAATTTAAAAAAAAAACCGTTCAAAAATGACGTTGATTTCCACACACTATGTTAAATTCCTTTTACTATTAGCATCAGATCTTTAAAAGGATAAGAAGAAAGTGTTTAAAATTTTCAGATTGAATGCAGAATTTTCAAATATAAAATTTTCTGGACTAGGGGATTTCGAATTAATTGACAGCACATTTGAGAAGAATGATATTTCTCTCGAGCTGAATTTGCGATTTCCGATGTTATCAATTGTTGCTGGTTAGTTTTGATTGATTTAAATTGTATTTGTATTTATCCTTAAAGCTTAAGGAAAGAATATTTACAGATCACTATAATATGAATGGAGCTGTTTATGGAGTTTTCCCATTACTTGGAGACGGATCGTTACAGTACGTATGTTTATTTTAAAAATATTATACAATACAAATCTTATAACTCATTATTTTACGCAGCATCGAAGCGCACAATTTTAAAATAAGGAGCAAAGTACATCTGATACAATCAATCGACGGTAGATCCATACTAATAAGAAAAATGTCGAGAACGCGATTTGAAATCGATAAAATATTGGTGAGTATTTGAATAGTCGTGAATTCAATGATGACACACAAACTATAAAGATCTGCCGCCGAAATAGCCTTTAAGTCGATACCACAATTGAAATACGCGTTTCAACAGAGGTAGAGCCACGTAGCAGTTTCTGTAGAGCTGTTGTGTGATTGCTGGGGTTAGCTCATCTCTAGACCCAATTTTCCACCTAAACGTGGCTATAAACCCTACAGATAAGCTTTATAACACAGCACAATGTTTTTTTTTATTTTTATATTCGGCAAATTCATTTATTTACTGCAGGCACGTCTAGTGACGAAGGTTTGGAATAAGCTGGTTTAAAGTTTCAATATAGTACCAAAGTTATTTCTATGTACCCCCTTAAGCATTAAAAGTGAGAGCTTGGGTGTTTTATTTTTTGGTAAACTAAACTTCTTATGCCCGTTTTCACCATCGATCCCTAACATTAAGGGAATCCCTAAAAAAATTAAATTCTGGTTTCGTTTTCACCACCGCCTAAGGTTCACTTTTAGCTGAGCGTAGCCCTCATTCTTAAGACTTTAGTCTTAAGTGGTACCCCTAATTTGGTGAAAATGAATTTTGGTGGCATTAGTAAGGGAGAGTTTGAGGGTATAATGGTGAAAACGGGCATTAGAAGTTTAATTTAACAATCCGTAGTATTCGGGTAAATATATAAAATTACATTTTTACAATCTTTATTGATCTAATATTTACAAGATTAAATCTATCTAAAATTACATATTATCTAATGCAGCTAGCGTTCTTGGCACCATGCCGCGTGGATTAGGTCTATTAGATAATATATAGAATTATTTTTCTTTGTTGTTTTTGTTTCATTTAGCTGTTTTCGCCCTTGAAATCACCGCGACTGTTTTTAATACTGCGTTAGATTATAAAATGTATTGAAATCGGTTACACTACTTATATTATCAATATTTCGTACTGTTAAATCCTTTTTATCATATACATATTTGATTGTAGTTTTATCTCAATTTTTATCGCAAAAGATTTAATCTTTGTTTTTTTTTTAAATAATGATTGTTTTTTTATTATTCCTTATCTTGTAACATTAATTGGTATAACTTTTAGAAGCTACATTGAATCAAATAACCGAAACTATTCTTATGAATTTATTTGTTATTTTAGTTCCATGTATGCATTGACGATAACCCATGTAAAATCTTAAATATCCAGACAAAATTTAAGATGAAGTTGATTAAAATCTGTTGTTCAAAGAAGTTTTTATTTATCTTTAGAAATTATTTTTTAATTGAGTCTCAGTTTTATCGTAAAACATTGTATGATATTGTAAAAATCCTAAATTTCATAAAAATCAAACCGATTTTTTTTTTGAGACGTGATAGCTCAGTGTCCGGGCGCTCGCCTTTAATTCAATATACTCGAGAAACCTGAGTTCGATCCCGGTGCCGGCACCAATGAAGTTTTTAACTTTAAGTGCTGACTTATCACGTGCTCCGCGGTGAAGGTAAACATCGTGAGGAAACCTGCATATTTTCGAAATAATAACAAAAAGAAAATATTTTTCGAAGATATGGGAAGTCCGCCAATTCGCAGTGGGGCCGCGTGGTGGACTATGCCTTGATACCCTGTCTATAGAGGAGGCCTTTGCCCAGCAGTGGGACATGTATAGGTTATTACTTTACCTTTACAACCGATTTTAACTCTTAAGGCTACCGGTAACCGAACCGGTAGCCTTAACCATTCCAATCCTTCACATTTTTATAAAGGATGCTGCGGAACTATAGATGGTATGAAGATATTGATGCCATGTTGCGAATAGCCACAAAAACCTGAAACCACAGACAAACTCTGCACAGATAGAAACTCTTGATCTATGGCAAAAGCTAGTACCTCTTCAACCGAACGCAGATCGTAAGTTGGTCTGTCACTGAGCATCCTTCGTTCACCTAAATGTCCGCACTTGCCCAGCAAAGCAAAAATGAATTAAAAACTTACCTCTTATTTATTGTTTATTTCGTTGTGATATGTTAGGATATAGTTTTTAGCAAAATTTCAAATCCATAAATTCTAACGCCAATGAGTAGGTACGTTTAAGAAATCATTTGAATTAAAAGCATAATAGTTAGGTTAGGGTTCCCAAACTGTCTTCCGCAGAACCTGAATTTCTCCTTCATATAGGAGATTAGCCAATAAAGTTCACAGATAGATGTTATTATTAAAAGGAAGGAATTACCCAACCCCGACAAGTAGGCTAAGTGCTGCGTATCAAATTTCCAGGTTGAAGAAAAGTTTTTTTCCGTTAGAGAATGATTCAGCAACTTCTGCTGTCAGATGGCGGTGGTGGCTGATCTTACGCGCCACAGTCTCACAGAAGACAGCGTAAAGTTAAAGTATATGCCAATTTCGACAAACTCGACGTTATTGCTATAAAAGTAAATTCAAACACATATCAAAACTTTATGTGCCGCTTTAAATTACTCAGCTGATGGGACGATTAATTAGGCAGGGATATTACCGCATGGACTGAATGGCAGGCAGTGGGTTATCTGACGCTCAATACTGGGCTCGTGAATGCCGTCGTGGCTACGCCAATTGTACTAGCACAGCACCATATGGCCGGACTATCCAGGGAGAGGAGACTTGAGAAGGTCTTAGTCGCGCCAGAGACGCGGAAGATTTCGTCTTCATGTTTCCCATGTCCCCGGCCGAAGTGACAGAAACAACGTGTGTGTGTGTTAGTGGGTGCGCATCTCGTTCTAACAAAGACTCACGCATACACCTGCCGCTTCTCCAACCAATTAACAGAGAATCCCAAAAGTGATTTTCCCCACGTTAAAAATATTACCTTACTTCATCACACAGTGTTATAAAGCAAATAACGATTATCTTCATTTAGCCCAAACAGAAACAGGTTAGCTAGATAGTTGGTGCTCCAGAGAACCGAAAACGAAATAATATGGAAATGTTAAATGTTAAATCAAAACATACTCACATACAAATAAATCTCTTACGGCGTACACACAAAAGGAGATCCAATTCTCGCAGTAAGTACGGTGTTTTATTGATATTATATGTATATTAATAAATGATACTTCATTTTACAGTCTCGAACGGAATTCGATGGCAATATAGACGATATTCTAAATGCCATGATGGAAGACTTGCTTGCTGATTACCTCTCGAGATTTAGTAAGTACATCGCCGCGCAACACGAGGAGTATGCGACGCAAGTTCTCAATCAATACATCAGTCCGTTCGAGTCTTGGAGGCTCATTGCAGACATCTTGTGATATGACACTATTACACTTAATTACATTTTAAAATTAGTTGTTTTATTATTTACTAAGCATTTATTTCATTATGGTACATTTGCTATTCCACTTTTAAATTTGAATTTATTTATTTGGGTCAAAATTAGAAATTGAAATTTAAGCACCTTCCCGTTGTCAGATTGATCTGAAATTTGGTACACACATTTAATTTAGATGACATTACAATATTGTAGTTTTGAGTGCACAAAAAAAATAGAAAAAAAACCGTTTAACTTAAAAGTTTTTAAACGGTTTTATTTCATTATTCGTTTTCGTCACAATATCTCAATGATCAACGTTTTAAAACGTCAACACGGGATAATGTTATCCTACAGTATGGGCAGTGTTTTTGATAGGAAGACAATAAATGTGATTACCCGACTGCGCCAGAAGGAGGGTTAAAGAGATGTTTTTAGAGAGAGAGTATGTATGTATGTATAATTGTTTGGCACGCTCTGCAGCCTGAACGACTTGATAGATTTTAGCTTAAGAGACGTCGGTAGATTCGTATTTACTGTGAGAGTGACACTGGGTATATCAAAATAAAAAATTACACAGAAACGCAGTCGGGTTTTAAGTTTTATAAATTATATTCAACAAGTATATTATATCACTTTGATTACATACTTGTCCATTAGTCAAGTATATAAATAATACAATATCAAAGTTTGAAGTCTGTATCAACATTACATTCAGCAAAGTAATCTGGACATTACGGACAAAAGGTAGTTAAAAACTGATAAATATCAAAAAGTCATAGAATTATACTAAAAAATGTTTGTGTCTAACATTTGTTGTAATTTTGTAACTTTTACTTTTGAAACTAAATTATAGTAGCTAAAAAAATTAATCAAGTGTTCTGATTATCATTTAATTTATTCAATCGTTTATTATTGCGTTTACCTACGTAATTCTTATCATCCAATCACGGTTGATTGTATTACTATCAATATCCTTATTATTGTATTAGTATTGATAATCCTTCCATATTATGATTATTTAACTGATTTTGCTCATAAGTTGATACACTAGTATTTCTCTGACTGTGCTGCAAAGATATTCAGGTTAGTAAATATTCAAAAATGTTAAAATAACATCAATCCGAATTAATATTTATAGTGAACAGCATGATATTCTAACATTTAGAATGTAGATAATATTTAATACGCGACAACTTTAATTCCATCGCTGCGGGAAACTAATTATGCATAGACTACTTCCGCCATAATAAAGCTTACCGAAAATGTTTTTTTCTATGTTAGAAAGTGGCAAGTGAGCTGGTGGTTACCCTGATTAAGTGATAACTGGCTTCCATTGACATTTGCAACACCCGGAGGGTTGCAGATGCCTTGCCACCTAATAATAGTGGTCTCCGGCTACCTCTCACCAGAAGAAACGCAGAAGTTATAACATTTTTACTTCACGCCCTTCTTCTGTTGTTACCCGGACGGACCTGCGCATTCATGCAACAGCGAAGACTGTTTCGTGGCCCTACCACAATGATAATGGATTGTTGGATGAAAATTAAAACTTAAAGAAATTATCTTCTAAACTATTCGAGTATTAAATTATTATTTTAATATTTCCGGGATTTTGCTTATGATTTATTTGTTTTCCATTAGATATTTTATTAGATACTACTACAACGTTTATTATTTTGTTCAGTTTGTAATTATAAAATTGATGAAAAGAATTTAAATTTGGAAATTATTAGTCTCATTCTCCGATGGAATCCCGGAAGGATCATCTTAGATGAAAATTCATAATCCGTGCCTAGCTTGCTGCGAAGTCGCAGACGTTCAGATACATGCTATGGTGTTCAGGAAGCTAGACTAAACACTATAAACGATGACATTGAAGCGATCATAGTATACATATACGTATCTAAAAGTACAACGTTACATCGAAATAATGACACCAATCGTAATCATGAACGTTAAAAAAACGTAATGGTCAAACAAACATATATCGTTAAAATATGCTTAGCGCGGTTTACCGTTCTAATGCTTTAAAAAAACAAATATTCCAATTGTTCACTTGACAATTTTAAAGTAACGTGTAGTTTTGTACAGTAATAATTAATAAGGGAACTTAATAAGTTCTGATATAATATTTTATATACAAGTCTATGCGATAAGCGCGATATTAAATTTGGAAATGCAATTGTTATTGTTCTATCTATAATTACCTGTTACCTTGGATAAGTTCGACTGATACTGGAACAGAAGTCAACGGTTTGTTGTGATTCATGCACACACACATCAAAATGTTATAATTTTAAACAATACATAGACTAAACATTTGTTGCACTGTGGAATGATGTTTCAATTTCAGAATGAAATTGTTAACTTTGTTGGCGCTGTGCGCCTTTGCTGCGGCGGCTCCGAAAACTGGAAAAGATGTCGCCTTTGGTAAGTAGGTTGTGAACAAAACAAGTATAATTTTTTACAAAAAAAATCCTACTTCAATCATAAAATTAAAAACATTGTTAATACCTATAACATTCAATGATGGCCCTCGATTTCTCTGAGATGCCATCGTCAGATCCGGGTTTCCTTATCCTGGTACCACCCTTGGGATATCACCTTTTCGACAAAAAAGAATCATCAAAATCGGCTCATAAACGACGAAGTTATCCGCGAACACACATTAAAAACATTGTGCAACAGTGAAAACTGTTGCGTGCCCCTACCACAATTTATTTTACATTACATACGGTATACATAATATACCGCGTGTCGTTACCATCGCGACAATAAATGAACACACATATAGGGGATAATTTTTTAAAGTTGTATTAAACATTTAAATTCTTTAAACATCAATATTTACAGAGTTATTAAATTTTCCAAAACAAAGAATTTTAGAACACCCTTACCTATAAAAGCGTAACGTAAAGTTCATTTGTAAAGGTCACAAAGCATATGAATGGGTTGAATGAATTTAAAAGAGACAAAACATACTATTAGAAGGAGAGGCTTGTAATACGACGCTGTGGCGCGAGTTGTATAGGATGTTACAAATTTTGTTTCTTTTTTACTTAATTAGTTTGTTTGAAAAATTTTTTTTAAATTATGGAATTTGTTTGACGTTAATATTTTTTTATGATTATGGCAAGTAGCGTTAGACGTCTCTTCATTTATTGTCGCGATGGTAACGACACGCTGTATACGGTCGAATTGAGAAACCTTCTCCTTTTTTGAAGTCGGTTGAAACATTTACACACGTCTTTGCAATAATATTGGGCGGCTATTTAAATTTTTTATGCATAGCAAAATGAAATTACTAGTAAATACGACCGTTCGAATTTATTAAATCCCAGTAAAGTCAGCAATATAATTTGTACGCTGATTTAATTTTTATTTAATTATTTCAAAATTCTTCATTGTCAATACTTCCTAACTTGATTAACGCTTAAAGTTAAGTACCTGGATGGATCGATCTTTGCTCGAATTTTTTTCTCACAAAAGATCAAAAATCAACTTCTAAAAGGTGAAATAAATAAATATGAAAAAAAATTATCTGGACTGAAAAAAAACAAAAACATCATCTGGACTTGAACCGGGGTCTTCTGATTTCGAGTTATTATAATCCTGTACACAGTGGCGAAATGTACCTTCCTATTCTAAAGTTATTTTTGATTGCCTGAAAACATATACAGAGTGTTACAAACTACCCGTAAAGCCGAAAGGAGGTTAAATGGGGTCTAACGAGTCCATTCACAATATTTAAGAACCGTAGGAACGCTGTATAACATACCCCAAAAAATAAAAAAAATGTTATTATTTTCACTGATGTGCAAACCCTATTTCAGTAAAATTAGAGTATAACTACTGGCTTTTCTAAGTGTATCCATTTTTTTATTAAATTCCAGACATAAATATTGTTATATAAAAAATGATAAATATTTAAAATCACTCGTAAGTAATTAATTACATTCATTTGAACTTATCTCAAAAGTGCGTGATTTAGACGCAACTCACTTATTTTACGCGCAATCATTCATAACTAACACGCACACAAGTTCTTGCAACAGTAAAATTTAGGTATTTATGAATGACTACCGCATTGTCAACACATTCTGTTTTTTAGGGAATAGAATGGAATTTTTTTGGAAAAAAAACTTTGTTTTTTATTTCAATAAGCGATTATACTACCGAGTCTGAACCTCCTGTGTGAATTACCTGTGTGGGCACCTTTAAAAAAAGCCACCCTGTATCTATATATATATATATATATCCGTAAAAAACAGAACTTGTGGACAATGCGGTAGTCATTCATAATTACATCGTATACTTTTGAAATGAACTTGTGTGCGTGTATCATTTATTATATAACATTATTGATGTTTAGAATTTAATAAAAAAATGGATACACTTAGCAATAGCCTCCGTGATATATACAGGGAGCCTCCCTGTACATATCACACCTTTACAATTAAAGGGACCTAATTATGAAAATCATGATTTTGGCTTTATGTCAGGAAACGACATAAAGCCAAAATCTCCTCAGCCAAACGAAAAAATCTATTAATATAGAGACATAATCTTATATTTTATCCAAAAATAAATACATGTAATTAATGAATAAATGCAATCAGGAAATATGTAATTGGCAGATTTTCACGTTGAGAATTACCAGGAAGACCGAAATATTCTGATCAATATGCTGATAAGACAGCTTATCGCCTACCTTCGTCACGTCATTAACAATGGATCAGCCATCTTCGGACTACCACCCTTGGATCCCTTGGACTTGGATCACTTTCATCTAGTAATACCAGCCGGACTAATAAAGTAAGTGACATTGATAGCTTAATGCAAATAATGGTATCAACTCCTTCAAATTGCTACTTTTTTAATTGCTAATTCTTTCTAGTCTATAATTACAATTTTGAAGTTACAATACATGTATATATGATTTGTAATGTCGTCTCAGATTTTTTTATTTACCATATGTAGATATTTACGTATACCTTTACACAAATAATATTTAATTTAATATCAACAAATATTTCGAATATATGTGAAGTCCGCCAACCCGCAGTGGGGTCGCGTGGTGGACTAAACCCTAATACCCTCTGTACAGACTAAGTGTTTGCCCAGCAATGGGAAACATGTAGGCTGTTTCTGTTTTTACTTTAATAATTCAAAATTCATCCCTGTATAAGCATATCTGTTGAATTAAATAATTCACAGACTATTCAATATGTATAATGTGTATCTGAATTAAATAATAAAAACTCATGTTGCAAGTTAAAAAAAGAATGCAGAAAATGCTTCCATTGTCCGTTACTATATAATTACCGACTTTCACCAGAAATTTGTTAAAACAATGACATAAATAACAATAAAGTATTGCAAAAATACTGCAGGCTCATAGTCCCTGACAAAATCTTGAAAGAAAAAAGTAATCTTTAAAGACCATTATTTGATATTATTTGTGTACGTACATAACTTTTTTATATCTTTCAGCCTAGACCTAGAGCTCAAAAACGTGAAAATGTTGGGTCTTGGTGGCTTTGTTGTTCACAGGAGCGTTCTTCAGTTGTCCGATCTGTCTTTTGACATTGATATTTCAGTTCCCAAGCTCGACTTAAGTGCTGGTAAGTGAAGTTCATTGAATACGTAATTATTAAAATACATCCAACCCGAATTAACCTTTTAGCCGCGATGAGAAGAAACATCTAACCATTAACACATACATACATACTTATGCTCAATATACCATTTACTTCAAAAGAAACAATAAGTAAATTGTAGTATAATAAATGAAAAAGAAATAGAAGCAACACTAGTTTTGCACTTTGTCTTTCTTACAAATTTGACTTTAAACTTTTTTTCTCAAAGGGAATGTCTGTTTCAACTAGATAAGCATTACTATAATTATTGTACGTCCAAATATAGGGTAGATCTATTCGGGAAAGTAAGTACCACGACTCCACAGAAGACCGACGTGAAGTGGAAAAGTTAAACTTCTACTTTTCAGTGCGATCACTCACCAGACGAAACGCAGAAGGTTAACCGTTAGTGGGTCCCGGTTGTCTTACCGGGACTTATTTTATTAAAAGGTGGCAACGCATCTGCAACCCTACGGGTGTTGCAAATGTCCATGGGCGGTAATTATTACTTAACATCAGATGAACCAGGTGGCAAGCGACTAGGCAGTCGCTTGCCACCTTCTCACATAACAGAATACTACAAATAAATTTAATACCTATAACAAAAGTACATCACGAAAGTAGGATATATAATCCTTGTAGAATTTATAATTCTTTGATGATTCTCCTTTTTGTAATATATAATTATGCTATAAGTCTCGATGCTTAACTAAGATAAATACGATACTAAAATTTAAGATACAATAAAGTTAAATGTGCTTTGAAGAAATAAGGTACTAATAATCAATATAGAAGACGCATGTTAAAAATAGTTCCGCTTTACGTTATATGACATACGTAAGTGAATTTAACAGATGATATAGAACGTATGATACGGAAAGAGATAGCAGTCTTTAAAATTACACCCATTGGTGTAATTTGAGTGCCTCAGTTTCTATGCGCTAGTGTCATATCCATTGTATGTAATATCATTTATACTAATACACATTGTTTCAGAATTGTACGACCTTACCGGCGATATATTCAACGCTATCCCGCTTTATGGCAACGGAAAAGCAATGTAAGTACTCTTAAAATCTTATCTTTTAAACGAGCAATTCTTGTACATATATATATATATATATATATATATATATATATAATCGGAATCTCGGAAATGGCTCCAGCGATTTTCATGAAATTTAGTATGTGCGTAGATTCGGGGGCGAAAAATCGATCTAGCTAGGTTTCATTTTTAGAAAATGTCCTTTCATCATTGTTTTCAGGGAATGAAAAATATCATTCGAAAATGACGGTAAATTTCGCCCAAAAAAAAATGTTATAGCTCGGTCGGTAATCGGGCGGCCCCGAAACAAAAGGCCGTGGTTCGTGTCACGATCATTTACATACTTATTTTTTTACTTTTTTTTTTCAATTCCAGATCATTGCTTTCTTTATTTATTTTTTTGTCCATCCAGATGATTTTGTTTTTTAATCCCTTTTTTTAAAGTTATTTCTTTTGTGAAAAACACCAGTTCATATTTTCTTATTATTACGTCGGTAAAATCGAAAATGCAAAAACAAAAACAAACCGGTCCTCCAGGTACTTTTATTTACATTTCTTGCAATACAACTAGGTGCATTCCTTCAATTTTGCAATTTTAAGTAACTATTTAAAACTCAAATCTTGCTGACCTCAAATGTTTGTAATAATAATGGTATAGATAAGGGAAAGAAAATCAATATTGCTATTTTTTATGAAAGGCAAAAATCTATTGTTAAGTGATTACCGCCGCTTATGGACGGACATCTGTAGATAACATCCATCGCAGCACCGTGCCGTGGTCTCAGATAAGCTGGCCAAAACACAAGAAGAAATTGCCTCGATCTACCACAATTAAATAGTATAGGTATTTGGCTTGTTTGTGTATTTTATACACAATTGAAAATGAAATTGAGTTGATATTGTCGAATGATCAAATGTGATAGTAATTTGTTTTCGAATATACCTCGATCAGTTTGTTGTTAGCTATATTATGTGACCAGTTTGTTGAAACAGTAGGCGGCAAGATCCTCTTAGACCGTCTCAAACCACTGAGCTTAAGTAGGGACGTTACGTATTTTCGCACTATTATTTAGAGTTCATTAAGGGAAGTGCTCTTAGGCATTTCGAACATAGTCAGCTAGTTGAGCGAATTTGAACATACGGCCAGCATTGACTATGTCTCGGTTCCGTATGTCATCACTGGCAACCCACATAGATTGAAGACTTTATTATGTTCTTTATATTTTCAGATATTTTAATACTAGTCGTTTATCATTTTCTTGTTATTTTTCAGATTCCTGGTTGAGGGATTCCGGATTCGGGCGAAACTTTTCCTAAAACAATCCGACGATGAAAAATCTGTTATTATAGACAGAATTGAAAATGCTTCCTTTGAACTTCCGAATTTCAAGGTAATTTATTTACTATTATTTGGGCTTCCGTACCCAAAGGGTAAAACGGTATCCTATTTCAAAAACAACGCAGACAGCGTTGTCTGTCAGTCCGTCTGTCACCAGGCTATACTTATGAACTGTGACAGTTAGACAGTTGAAAATTTCACAAATGCCGCTATTACAACAAATACTAAAAAACAGAATAAAAAAATATTTAAGTGGGGCTCCCCGTACCTACGACAGACATGATTTTTGGCGTTTTTATATAGATAATGGTACAAAACTCTTCGTGCGACTCGCACTTGGCCGGTTTTTTGTGGCATGGTAACCAGGCAATTCATTTGATGTTAAGTGATTTCAGCCACAATGGATATGCAATACTTGTAACCTATTACCCCACTTACCACTCCACATTGGTTATCCGTGATTCCATTTGTGCAACAGCAGTAACTGCTACTTGGCCTTAACCCACAGATCCAATATATACAAATTAAGTAATTTGCATATCAATCTCTAACGTAATTGACTGCGTAATTATGTGTGTATTAAAATATATGAAGCCATAATCGATTCAATAAAATTTATTTATAAAATAAACAATATATCGAATAACGAAATTACACATAGTTATTGGCAAACGAAACGCTTAACGTTAAATACTTATCAAATTGTGTCCAGTTTCATGACGAAAACATAAAAAACCATATGACTATCACTGTAAAAATATGTTTAAGCTATATGATAATTCCCTTTTTTTAATGTGTGAAAAGATAGAAAACGAGCTGACGGTCCACCTGATGTCAAGTGAGATCCACAACCTCTAGGGGTTGCAAAACCCGTAGGGTTGCAGATGCGTTGTAAATTTTTTATAAAGTGGGCCCCGGCTACCTCAATCACCAGACGAAACGCAGAAAGTATAATACTTCCACTTCTGTAAGGTAAATATCCGCGCGGACCATTCGTGCAACAGCGAGGGCTGTTGCGTGGTCCTACCGCAGTTAGCCTTCTACGGGTAAGGCTATAATTCATATTGCTTTTACATATATTTCAGTCGGAATTAAGCGGTGCAATCGGCGGCGGTGACATAGACTCCATCGTTAATGCCCTTATAGAAGAGGTCATTGTTGATTATATTAACCGCTTCCAAGGTGTAATCTCGAAAATTGGCTCTGAAGCATTGGTGACATTCGCGAACCCGTTCTTAGACCAGCTCGACACGTGGAAGTACATAGAGAGACTCATCTAAATGATTATTATTTATATCGATATAAAAACTCCTTTAATGATGTGTCATCTTTTATTTTTTATACCCCTTATACTCATGAGATCGATCCAGAGTGATAACATTGATTCATGGATAAATACACTAAACCATATTTTTAATTGAATAGTTACAACTACTTAAATAAATCTCAATATTTTGTAATAATAACTTGGATTGGATACCACTCGACTAGCCCAGAAATCATTTTTTACCCCACAAGTAGAATTTTTATACCAAATATTTAAATAAACAAAAAAAAATAGTACATAAATCAGTCATGATTTATTACGACGGCAAAGCAATGATTAAAGATGCAATGAAGAAAATAAAGTATTTTATTCCATTAAAATCAAATTTAATAAAATTATCACATTACATGTTTATAAGGGTTTCGTTAATAAAAGGTCCTTATCACTTCATGTCCCTATTATAATCAATTCAATTTGTTTTCTTCCAAAAATATTTTGCCATTATCATGTAATGTCATTACAAAAGAGCTCAAGTTACAACTAGAAGCATATTTAATATTACAGGTCTTCATCACCATACTTCTCGACAAACTCCCGTAAAGTCCATCTTGAATCCGCTAGGGCATTCCTCAACATCATATCTGTATTCCTCGGGAGAGTCTTCAAATTGCACGCTTTTTATAACAACCTCTGGTTCAGGAACAACCACCTCGTCGCTCATGATAGAGCGCGGACCGATTGATTTCGATACAACCGATGCTATGACCACTAAAACTGTCAATATTGCGTATTTACACATTTCGCACCTATTCTGCAACGCAACAGCAAATGCGCGTCAATGACTGTGGATTTATATACGGTTTGATATCGGAGATTTAAACTGAGGCCAAACGCCGACTTCCGGCCATATCGCCCACATAAGGATGTCCGTACATTTCAGAGATATGCGAGTATATCATTTGCTTTATCTCTTTTTTAAGGCAAATTATGATTTCGTTTATAAGCAAGAAAAACTTTTTTAAAAAAAAGATAAAATCAGTGGACACATACGTATCCCTATTGACTAACAATGAATATAACAAGTGATATAATTGTTATTACCTTATTAATTTAAACACAGTTATATGGGCTGATATACGTATCGCGGGAGGAACAGATTTTGTTTTTCGTAAAAATTTTAGATTTTTTGTACGAAAATCAAATTCTTTAATAAATTGTAAACTCCAAAATGGCTGAACCGCATTTGCCGTAACCATAATTATGAGGTAGAGAATTTTTCAGAGATCTACATAATCCTTGAAAAATTCCCTACCCGATAATTTTTTATCTTTGAACTATTCAGGGTTCCTCTGTAGAAATTGAAAAAACTAAGAAGTAATGGACGATGAAGTTTTGCAAAGGAGGTGGGACTGAGGATAACCACGGAAATCGAATGCGCGTAAGTCTGGACACAATTCCCATATAAATACATACAATTCACTGTTAACCAACAGGGCTGGAGACTAAATAAAATATAGAATAATCGTAAATCGAGGTTACTTTTATGTCGAAGGCTTCCTGAAATCTAAGGAAGTAGTCAACCTGCCGGGCAAAAGAATTACAGATCTTTTTCTCACGTAAATTATCCTTGTAGCATGATAATAATTTTATTACTTTTTTTTGTTGAAGAATTTAAACACGCTTAACTCCGGGTTCCCTAAAGGCCCAGTTTATATTGGTCAAGGACAGTGGCGCGTAGCCAGTACAAATACAGTGCCAGTGGCGAGCGCGGTTCAAGTGGCTGTTTACACAAGCCGAAATGGACGAGCATCTTCAAAAAAATATGTGCCTTTTATTTTGCCGGTTGCCGGCCACTGTACTAATTTGACTGTTTACAATACTACGAGTCAAGTGTCCCGCGGCGGATTAAGCGGCGAGGTGTGCACTTGCACCAAAAAATAGAAAGCGATTCTATTTGAGTCTAATTGCAAGGCAGCTTGTAACCCAAGTTGAGCCGCTATTGTCCGATGGTTTACATAACTGTACTTCAAAACTTCTTTAAACTAAATTTGGTCGAATATAACAAAATAGGTTTTTATACATATTTTAAATATAACTGAATGGTAATAAATCACTTAATGCAACAAAGTTATATTCACTCATAGCTGTACTGTCTGAAAAATATATGCTTAAGAAAAATTTTCCCGACCCTCTTCTTTAATGGTGACCACAATACGTTTCTCTTCAGCTGCTCCTTTCCTGATGCCCGGAAGGAAGCTATATCACCCGAGCAGCCCTGACAATTTTTTTGTGGAATCTATGCGAGCGTATCGCCTTCAACAGGTTTAAGGGCCATGTTCCATCCCTATCCTCCGCGACTCAGCGGAGGACAGGAAGAGCGGCCAAGTGCAATTCCGACACTCCTTTTCCTACGCGACTCCTCATCGGTAGCAGAAGACATCCTCCACTACCACGATCGAACTGTCCCCTGCACTCTCCAGAACGCATGCAGAGTGGGCTCAATGAGTCCACTCGGAGCGGACCTCTCGGGCCGGCCTTACACCACAGGTCCTGCCCAGTGTGGGTTCCGGGAACCCCGTTGGAGGGGGCATTAACACATCTGCCATAACATGTGATCTGTATAATGCGGGAGTAAATAAATCTGTTCTTTATATTTAATGCCAGGGCAATCTTTTCTTCCGTAAAATTGTGTTTTTTCAGTAATTTTACTCGGTAAAGCGCGCCTGCACGTTGTCTGCGCTTCAGTGGTGTTAAGAGATATCGACGGTAATGTCACTGCCGACTACAACTCCATAAACGGCGAGAACCTTCGGTGCGTGATCGATCACTCCGGCGTTCGCAAATAAACCGTTGTTATCAATAAACTGCGATAATTTACGCTGTTTGTGTTCTTATTTAACCATAATTCTCTCAACAGTGAGTAGGGACGAAATTAATGAGTCATATGGACCAGGTTGATGTAATGCTAGTGGCAAAACTTGCCTTGAACCTAGCACGGGTCACCCGGGAGGCGCTAATTATATTTATATTATTATAATATTATTATAAAATCATAAAAAACATGACAAGTTAGTACTAGCCCGGCCACGCTTAACGATCGCTACAATCAAGGTCATGACGGACTGGGAAAAGTTAGACAAGGAACTCAAATCCACGAGGTTCCTGAACTAAGATAAAATTTCCGATAGAATAGAACCTGATACTGCCTCTGCACACCCCCAAAAAAAAATTCGCGTGGAACTGCTTATCTTCGACTTCGATATTCGCTAGCGGTGCCAGACAGACTCTTAATTATACTAGTCTACTTGTAGAATCATTGATTTCAATTTATAGATCGCAATCAAACCTGCCATATTATAATCCGTCTTCAATCTCTCTTTACTCTCATTGCACTTGCCCCTTATATTTTATAAGTTTTTTAGTTAAAATATAAGATGTATTTGAATTATTCCTACAACACATTTTATTGTTAAATTTTCAATACATATGTCACATACCAAACTAACAAAATGATAAAAATATAGTAATCTAGTATGTTTTAACATCATGTATATTATGGTATCAATAAAATAGTCTGAAATAAAAATATATAATAAGTTCTTTGTAGTGCAACATTTTTATAAAATTTGAATGTAAATACCAGTCTTTAATTTAATAGCAAGTCTTTATATTAAATGAAACTACTTTACGGATTTCATCGCGTTTTTATTTTAATTTAAATTCCCGACGTTTCGAACCCTTTCCAGCGTTCATGGTCACGGGACAGACTAAGTTGTTATACGTCTTGATGTCATAGTTAACCCCGGCTACCGTCAATTATTTTGTTTATTTTTATTCCGATCTACACAGAAGGAGCTTATGGTATCTTGAGGTCTGGCAGTGTTGGTGTGCTTGGATTTAATTTTATAAATTATGGGATCCCAAGCAGATGATAAACTATATTAAATGAAACTATCATTTAATATGTATAATATTCGCGTAAAATCAAGAAAACAATAAGCAAGTCTTTAGACAATTTTTTTAATGAATTATACTTTTGTTTCTAAAGAACTAATTATCACTGTCATTCTTAAAGTGTAGTATAACATAAAATTATATAATAATTACTAAACATAACAATTATGTTTCCTCATTTTCTATGCAATTCTGTAGCACTTTTTAAAAATCCTATATTGATTAGTTAACTGCCCCAAAATCAATAAATTAGCATTTCAGGGTATGTTTCCTTTCTTTTACATTTGACGTACAAATTCTTTGTTTAATGTTTGGGGGATGGTGGGGGTATTCGCACTCGTGGCATTGGTGATGGTTGCCATTCTCTTGGTTGAGGCGGTGGTTTTGCAGTAGGCTTTTTTGGTTCTGGTGGTAGCTGGCGAGCTCTAGGTTGTGGTGGAACTTGTCGCTGCCTGGGTGTAGGAGTACACTGAATTTCCTTTATTATTGGACCCATTTCAATAAAAAACCTGAAATTTAATTAATAAAACTAAAAATATGATGACTCTGTGGAGCAGCTGTCAAGGTATTGGCTTCGGCATCGGGTGTTGTGGGTTCGATTCCCACACAGGAAAACTATTTATGTGACCCACAGATAGTTGTTTCGCATCTGGGTGTTTGTCCATGTGAAATTTATGTTTGTAAAAAGTCCATACAACACAGGAAAACATTATCCCAAAGTAAGAGGAATGTTTAAAAGGAAAGGATAAAAAAAATTGATACAAATATTGTAATAGTGTGGTGTAGAATTCTCTATGTAATTTTAAAAACAAATGTTACACAAAGGTTCTGGTGGAACTTGTCTAATACTAGTTGTATTAGAAACCAGACTCGCGCATGAAGTGTTCCTTACCCTTATCAATAAAAACAGCAAAAAAAAATGTCTGTTGTATGGAGTCCTACTTAAATATTTTTTTATCCTATTTTTTAGTATTTGTTGTTAAAGCAGCAACAGAAATACATCTGTGAAAATTTCAACTATCTAACTATAACGGTTAGTGACAGACAGACAGACAGCCAAGTCTTAATAATATGGTCCCATTTTACCCTACAGGTATGGAACCCTAATATTTAAGTTGGGCAAAAATATTACAGAATAGCACATTATCTTAAGTGGCAATGGCCACTCTACAAAAGTAGTGAATTATTTTAGATCATACAGTTTTTAATGGAACGTCATTTTTAGTTTTTTTTTTTACCAGGATTACCATATTATCCTTTTCCTAACCCAAGCAACTTATAATTGTACTTCTACTATAGACTGATATTACGTGGCATGGAACTTTACTGGTTGAGCTGAAACAATGCAATAGTACAAGCAGTATACTACAGTAAATAATATATAACAATATATTTACGATACAAGCAACTTTACCAAAATTAAAATCAACTTGTATAGGTACTTAGACAAATAAAGATATTAGCACTAATATAATTACAAATTAATACAATTAGAAATAAAAATTATGTGGTAGCTGCATAAAAGAAACTGAAATTACAAAAACTAATGACTAATTACTTGAATTTACTCTAAAATTTCATTTTAGATTTTCAAATGTTCTACTTCTAACTCTAACTGGCATAGATAAGACATTTTATATAGTATATACCTACTGGAATACATAGATAATACATATAAACGGAAATTAAGACGTATGTACTGAAATTATGAAGACATATATGCTGCAATATATGCTAACTGATTTGACAGGTTATATTTATAAAATAGTGTTGTTGATATTGTTTTGTCTCAAAGAAAATAGAAAAACAATTATTATAATATTGACCAATAGGGATAAACGACGTTTCGATTTCGTAATATAGATCAGCAATCTTTTGACCCAATGGGCGTAGTGTATAGTGACCCTGTCTCTTGCGCCAGATGATGTGAGTTCGATCCAGAAAAGTACGTTTAGTAGTATCAGTATTCAGTTACCTTTTATCCATAGACTATATAAAGTTGTGTAAAAATATGTCCTGAAATATTTATTTAAAAAAATAAATTATATCGATATTTAATACGATACCTATTCGGGTCATACGATACGCTCGATATATTGTATTCCTGTAAAAAATATTAATTACGTTTTTCTTAGTAACGTATCAAATGAAACTATGACAATATTTTATAATTTTAAAATTCTCATTAATTCATTACATGTCAATTTACCTTTCTGTAATATTATACAGGTAGATTGTGTCAAATGTAGAAAAAATGTAGTTAAAAAAATAAAAAGATATCCCTCTGTATTGATATTCACTTGTTATAGTTATATAGTTACTTGAGTTGATTGAAAAGCATATATTGTTACGATGCCATATATCGATACAAACGAATTCGATACAGTTACGATGCGATATTATAATGATACAATACACTTTATCGACCCGTCAGTCAAAGATTTTGACTTTGACTCTTCTTGTATCTTGTACTGATGTTTTTGCTTTCAGTACCGAGACTATTAAAGCTTCATCTGACGACTGTGCAATTAACTAATCGGTGGCTGGGAGTGGTGAGAACCGCCCCGAAACGCGGGTGTACCCTGTGTACGCGTTGTGTTAGTCTCGCCGTGCTCGGAGGCCAGGGCGAACTAGTGTGTTTGTTGTTGCACTAACTGTGGGTGTAGTGTTATCCGGCGGGACGTCCCAGCGGTGGGTCCGACGTATCTAAATCCCCTTCCTCGACCGGGTCGAGCACAATTACTTGGACAGGCAGGTCGACGTTGCGTTGATACCACTGCGCACACAACAAGCGAGCAGGGTGCGTGTGGGCAAAGGTCATGAATGCGCAGGACATAATAGGACGTATGCAGGTCTTATATAATAATTTGTGCCTTAAGGGCATTTTACTTTTAGCGTTAGTTAAATTGTGTAGCCGGCTGGAGACGAACGCGGCTCTATTATGAACGTTATTAATGTGCGTTGTCAATGACATACGCGAGTCGAAAGTGACTTTAACTCTGTCAGCTCTAGGAAGAGATGACAGAGGCCTCGAGGGTTAATGGCTGCCATTGCCTCAACACACCTAGCACCGCAGGAAATGCATATATTAAACAAGTAGAACATAATTTAAAAAACCAAAAACCCGACTGCGTTTCTGTGTCATTTTTTATTTTGATGTACCCAGTGTCACACATACGAATCTAACGACACCTCTTAGGCTAAAATCCATCAAGCCTTTTAGGCAGGACGACGAATAAGACGCACTGGCAATTTTACAATTATAACAAGTCAATTTTTTATTAACGAAAAGCAAAACCGACTTCAAATATCTCGCTCTGTATTCATTTTATAATAGATTTTCAAGAGTTCCTAACGTTTCTCCGGAGCCCAAGATTCAATACCAATGAAATTAAGATAGGACCACATGGGAAACACCAACTTTCAAATAAAAAAAGAATCATCAAAATCGGTTAGCATATTTTCATTCCCTGAAAACAGGGATCAATTTTTCGCCCCCGAATCTACGCACGTACTAAATTTCATGAATTGTGATTCCTATAAAGCATAAACTATATGTTCCATAACGTCATACACTAGCGTCTCTTTCGCGCATATTCCTTCCAAACACTTGAATTCAATTCAAAAACATTTTATTAATCACTTCTGGTCCAAGCCAAGGTTCGAATCTCCATCTGATTGCCCTTAAATTGTGTCGTGCACCCCTCTCTGTTTAATTTTTCGTTTCTTGTCTACGGGTGTCGCGGAGTTGCAGCGGAATGAACGACCTCATCTTTTTGTCATCCTACACCTGCTTCGTTCTTGGCTTATGAATCCAAGGGTCATCTACATATGCCCCTCTTCCAATTAATTCCCCTACAAATCATAAAAAGATACATGACCTTAAATTTTATTTACTGGCTTTGTTTTTTTAGTGAATTTTGTAATTTTATGAATTATATTTGAATAAATGTTTGTGTTCTTTGCCTTACGTAAATTATCGTAAATACAGAGGGAAAGGATAATGTATATAAGAAGATTTTTCATATTTGAAACACATTTCTTGTAAAGTATTCATATTCGACAAGTTTTAAAGAATCCAATGCACAATGAATATAAAATCGTTGGTAACCCAAACCTAGAATGAAATGAACGGTAATCGAATGAATTATGAGTAGGTGAGTGATTGAGCAAAGACAAAACCTATCCGCGAAGAACAAAAACTGCGAATGAAAAGTGATTTCGGAGAGAAAAATTGTCGCTTATTCATGTGATTTGTGAATTTGTGTTTGTGCAAAATTCATTGTAGACTGTGTTTGTTATAGTATTTTTGGAGCAAAGTTCCCAAAAAAACGTACCGCTTGGTAGTAATATGAGTAATGTTACCAACCAAAATGGAACAGGTCTAGAGCAGCAGGTCAGTGCCTCATGTACTTATACTAAGTATTGATTTTTGCTTACTTTGCTTAGTTATTTTTATTAACTCATTTCATATTAAAGTTATCGTATAAAATCAAATAGGATCTAATTCATAATTATGAGTATACTACATTCCGATGATTGAGCCTCGCTTTACGTGTCTCGGTGTAACCAACATGGCGACTTGGATCTTCTATGGTATCCGATTGATTTTCTCAGCACTGCCATTTAAACACGGCCTTAGCAATTTTGCGATGAATGTATTATGCTATATTGTAACTACGTATAGTTCTTATCTTGCAATAAAATCATTATTACGGTAAATTTGCTTGTCATGGTTCTTGGAATTATTAAAGAAAAAATAGAATAATTCTTAATCTCGACTTTCTATTAATTATGATGTTTATTTATATCGTGTTATCTACTTACATAAGGTTAAAATAGACCTTGCTACCAGTTACACATGTCATGTGTTTAATGAATGTTGACTATAATTCTCATTCCATAATTATATATTATACTTTCCTCGAATATTTCACAGTCTATTTGTATTGTAAATAATTAACATAAGATATATGTTATTATTAAATTAATTCGATTTTAAAAGTTGATTTCTGCCAATTGTATGGAAAAATAATGTTTTAGCTTGCTGGTCTGGACTTGCAGCCTCAGGCTTCTAAGGGTGCTGGCCGATACATACCTCCGCACCTGCGTAGGCAGTTGCAGGCCAACCCTTCTCAAGGTGAGCTTCGGCAATACCAAACAAAGTCATGAGGCCTGTATTGTACCTCACAATTTTGCCAATTGTGTTGTGTGTGGTCAGTTTAATAACTTCTTTGCTACAATCTTCATTAAATGTTTAGCTACTCTTATTTAAATCAATCTTAATTGTTACACTTACTAAAGAGACGACTTTATAATTTTTTATATTATTTGGATTTTCCTATTTTTTGTTTATATAAGAATATGAGATCTATACCCTACTTTTAATGAGTACCTCGTTGCAGCAACATATTTTTAAATGATTTTTTTTTTCATATTTTAAGAAGAGAGAAAGAACAGAAAAGAAATTGTTCAAGATAGGTATTGAATTATATGTATATATTTGTTAAAATGTGAATTCATCTAGGTTTAGTTACAGCAATTGAAATAATATCTCAATATTTTATTGCCTTTGTTAACTGAACATGTTAAAGTAGGGTATAAGTGATTATAGAAAATCAGTGTCACATTATCAGTATGCAACATCCTTTTGTGATAGATTAATTGGATTCCAAGTGAATCTTAAAACATAATTGTTTTAAAATTCATGGGTTTTTAATAAATACCTCTTCCTCCTTGTAACCCATTGCAATATTTGTAGGATTTCAACATACAATACATTATGGGCCATAAAACTTTATGAAAAAATGCATATTTCATATTCTATTATCAGGGAGAAATATCTAATGGGGGGAAGATTTTAGTTTCTGCTTTTACTAGTGTTACTTTTTACACTTTGCTCAAAATGTGTGATTATATTTGCTTGTATTCAAACAGATGCTTATATGACAATGTTTCTCAGTCATAGTTTTTCAAGACATAGAAATAAGACTAATAATAAATAATCAAGATTGAATGCCATAAGCGACCACTTCTGGTCAGGACAATTTCATTGTTATGACCAAGTGTGGTTGGTCGGGTATGTATGTAAGTACCGGATATTTGCACTTAAATTAATAAATGTACATCTAACCTTGACTATGGACAGAGAAACCAAGTTGTACAGTTGCATATTCAACTGAAATTCTAAAATGCAGTTATGACAAAATATCTGTTTATATATTTATAATTATAATTTATATGTGATAATAAATATAATTTAACTTTATGAACACTTATGGGTAAGTATTTAATTATAAATGGGGTTTTGTTTAAAACTTAAATGAAAAGTTATATTTAAGTTTCCTTTAATTATGAATACAGATTAGAAGGAAATCTGTTGTCATAAATATTTTATGTATAATGGTATAAAGATTTGTGGCGACTTCATTGCATCGAGATAGCATGATAGTTTAGGGCTATCAACTATGGAGTTCTTCATTTCAGCTTCAATTCTCAGAAAGGAAAAACATTTTTATATTATTAAAATTAAAGTACTTTTGAGTCTTGGTAGTCATTGTATGCCGAAGATAAAATTTATTTGAAACAAAATTACCAAAAATTCACAGACACAAGAAATATTTTCTATTGCACGAGCCATTAAAAAAAAGAATATGACTCAATTATTTTCTTTCAAAATATTAATATTTGATTAGATGGTGCAATTGTGCATAGTTCAAGACATTGGTGAATCTTTATTGTATTCAGGAGAAGAGCCTAAGCGTCAAAGCTTAGACGTTCGTCCGAGTGAGTCACGGGATATCCGTTCATCATTCGGTGGCCGGGGTGGTGGTGGTGGTGGCGGTGGTCGACGCGACGACCGCGAACGTGACTACGACCGCGGCTACGACTCGCGCTATCCGCGCAGGGAACGCGGTTAGTAAAGACACTCAATTGCTATGCTATATTCAAAGTATAGATATAAAACTATAGGATATTGATAATTGGCTTGTTCATACAAAATTCCAATTGATGTATTGCCGATCAGTCTGTGTGGTCTCTTGTTTTTAAATCGTCATTGGGATGAGCAGCCTATTTGTGTTTCATTATATCAAAAATCTATAAATAATTAAAATTATATACTAAATAATTACTTTTTATACATGTTTTAATGTTAATCTTAAGTGCAGAGATTAGCACTATAAAAAACTTTAAAATCTATAAATAATAATGATTGAAATTTCAATAGAACTTTGAAAAAGATAAACGTGTCTTGATATTGGATTATAATATAGATTATATTTCAAAAAGTTGATTTTTTTACTGTCGCCCTACCACATAGAAAGTAGTCTTGTAGCAAGAGTGGGCTGGTTTCTCCGGGGAAGTACTATAGAGTCCATATTATTGTTCACCTAGTCAGTGGGTTGTTGATTAAGATCCCTCCAATGCCATGGATTTTGCAATCCTTATTTTATTTATTTTTAGCTTATTTACCTTCTTTCTTTAAAAAATAAATATTACCACAGTGTTTTGCAGGCTCTTCCTAAAGGAAAACATTCCTACAATATACTATACTGTTATATTATATATAATACATAAAATAAATTATATATATCTGATACTATTGAAATACCTGTTTAAGAAAAAAAAATTTAGGTGTTATTGGCAGATAAACACTTAATTTATTTTTTAACTTTTCAAATTTCTTTTACTAATTAATAATAACATAGATTCTTTTCAAGATGATTATTTGAAAATGCTTTCACAATTTTAGTATCACTAGAGAATGCTATGTAACAAATATGTATTATTAATTTCTCTTTAATTTGTATTAGTGGCATGTCGGCTATAAAAATTGGTTATGGTAATTGGCGCCAAAATCATGTTTTTTAATTTTCACATAATCATCTTCATGATTCACATATACTAACAAAACCATTTTATGCTAGAAGGATTAAAATTCCTAAAATAGTTACGGTTCCTTGGCCAAATTAAATTGAATTGAATGAAGTCTTGTGATCGAATATGTAAGTGGATTTAATGTTAATTTTACATTGATGAAGAAGTCATTATCTTTAGTTTGAGAGTAAAGTTACAAACTCTTTTCATGGCATGGAATATTATTTAATAATAATATTTTTTTTTTTTAGTTCTTTACTATAATTTGATTTGGCATTGGAACCCATGCTAAACTTTTTTTAGATAAAGATGTTTTTTTTTAATCATCAACATCTATATTTTAATACTTTTTTCTTTTACATGCCCAACACAGAACAATGTAAGTGGCATTCATTTTTAACATTTTCACTACATAATTAATAATGTAATGGTTTCTTAATTATAATAATAAAAATCTACAACTATCATACTCTTAATCATTTTTAGCCTTGAACATAGCTGATTAGATTTTCATTGTGTTAAATTTTTAAGTCATACATAGTTAATAGATTAGTATTGTATTAAAAAAGGAAAGATTATTTAAATTTTATGACAACCACTGTGTATAACTAATTCATTGTGAATGATCATTGGTTAGTTATGATTTTTCATAATGGTTATTAACAGCACACAGTTGACGAACAGTTCAAGTTTGGTAGAAGTAAATTTTTGACTATTGAAAGTGTAATATAAAAAATAATACCTACTGGAATTAAGAAAACAACAATATGCTTATGATTAGCCTATCTCATCCCCTCAGTAGGGCAGAAACTGCTAGCCTCACCGCCCATCTCGATCCATATTTTAAAGAAATGTGCAATTACCCCCATTTGACTAATCTGTTTTGTTTCTCCCACGTACGTTCATGAATTCAGACCAAGGGTGTGGCGCAGGTCGTGACCAGGGCCACCAGAATGGCGAGTCGGACCGCTGGGCGGAGTCGGAGAGGTGGGGCGAGAGGGGGGCGCGCGGGCGCGAGCCCCGCCGCGACGAGGACAGCGAGCCGCCGCCGCCGCGCAACGACCGCTGGAAGGAGCCGGAGCCGCGCGGGGGGGAGGAGCGCGCCCCGTCCCGCTCCCACGGCTGGGGCTCGGACGACGTGCGACGCTCGAGCTCTCGCAGGGACGAGGTGAGGGGCCGCACTCGTATCCACCGTACGTCATTGCAGCTGACCTTCCTTAACGTCGCGGGTTGAGGACTCTGTGGCACAGTTGCTAAGCTATCGGCTTCGGCGCAAAGGGTCGTGGGGTCGATTCCCTCACGGGTCAAGTATTTGAGGCTCGGGGATGCTATCGATGTGAATATTTATATTCCACGGTGGTAGGGCCAAGCAACAGTGTTCACTGTTGCACGAATGGGCAGGTCCGTCCGGGTTAGTACCACAACCTCATAGAAAACCGATGTAAAGTAGAAGTGTTGCACTTCTGCGTTTTGTCTGGTGAGTGAGGTAGCCGGGGCCCACATTATTAAGAGGTGGCAACACATCTGCAACTCTATGGGTATTGCAAATGTCTATGGGCAGGCGATTATCACTTAACATCAGGTGAACCGCCTGCTTGTTTGCCACTTTCTCACATAAAAAAAAATATGGTCTTGGTGGAGTAGTTGCTAAGCTATCATCGGCTTCGGTGCCTTTCTGTCATGGGCTCGATTCTCGCACGAGACAAGTATTTGTGCGACGCATGGATAAATTTTCTGGATATGAGTCTTTATGATCGCGGGCTAACATCAGGTGGTTGCAGCTCAAATTTGGTGTGAATTATAATAATTGGGGGTGGGTGTACATGCAGTTTAAGAATGTCATTTGATAACCTATAGTATTTGTAAAAGCTACTGAATATGTGCATAAAAATTTCCATTTATTATCTAACCTAGATCCTGATTACTAAAAAAGATTTGGTTACTAAGAGTTTATAATTACTGTGCCATTTTGTTTGCATTGCTCGAGTATAATGAGTTTTTAGTAATTGGACACTTCCCATAACAATAGAATGGACATTCCTGCTTATTGTACTTTTTAAAAGCAATTTAATTTATTGTCTGTCTTTCACATTTTTATATTATTATAACAAATAAAATATTCATTCTTCTTAATATCAATCATGGTGGATAATTATTTGATATCTAATAACTAGTTTATATAAATTTATTTTTGGATAGAAGAATAAGATCTAAATCAAAAAAAGATTTTCATCGGGGTAAATGCAAATACAAGCTATGAAGTGCGTTGGATCAACTTCCGATTTTCATTTAAAACAAGACCTTACCACTTTTGCAGGGGTTTAATGCATCAACGTTCGTACCTTTGCCCTGTAACATATAAACAATTTTGTCCAGCAAGGTTGGATGGTCCAAATTGAGTTTGAACATTCAATAAAAAACCTGAAATTGGTGCATAAATTGTAATTTTTTTATTAATGGTCATAACATAATAATAAGTTTATTTATAATAATCATTCAGTATTTTTTGGTTATAATAATTAAACAAATTAAAACATCAAATGTAACCAACTGGAATATTTTATTTGTATGTAATATCTAAATTTACTTGTATAGAATGACTGGACGATCCCGCTACCTCGCGACGAGCGGCAGGAGTTGGAGCTGTTTGGCACTGGCAATACAGGAATCAACTTCTCCAAATACGAGGATATACCGGTGGAAGCCAGCGGTGATCGCGTGCCAGACTTTATTACCAGCGTGAGTGCTTTAATATCTTCCCTCCTTATTATATTTTCTTCGATACGGTTTTCAAATTTATTCGAAATTTCATACGAGGTTTACTGATAAACAACAAAATTCAGAGGGCTTCATTTATTTGCAGTTTGAGGATGTTAACCTGACGGAAATAATGCGTTCAAACATTATGCTGGCTCGCTACGACAAGCCGACTCCAGTGCAGAAATACGCAATTCCGATAGTTTTGGGGCATAGGGACGTGATGGCGTGCGCACAGACCGGTTCGGGCAAGACCGCCGCGTTCCTCGTGCCAATCCTCAACCAGATGTACGAAGCGGGCCCCGTTAAAGTACCGTAAGTGTCTTTTTTATTTTCATAGTTTCTATGTATTTGTAGAATACATAGAAATTCAATTATTAAATTCCGTCTTACGGAAGCTTAGAGATTTTGCAGTTAGCAATTTGCCATTTTTTACATATTTCAATATCTGGAAGCTGAAATCTGCGACAATTTTCATAAATTAGTTTGATTTGATTTTACTCTTTGCCTTTACCTTTATTTACCCAAGATATTAATAGTTAGTCGATGGTACCGTTAAGCCGCTTTTATCGCTGATGATGTATACTTAAACGGCTAAACTAACCTTTTCTCTTACATTTCAGGTTTAACCGACGCAAACAGTTCCCGCTGGGATTGGTGTTAGCGCCTACTCGCGAACTCGCCACCCAGATTTATGATGAGGCTAGAAAGTTCGCCTACCGTTCACGTGTGCGGCCTTGTGTTGTGTGAGTACATGTTGTTTGCAATACTTTGCAGTTTTTGGATATATTTGTTCAGAAACATGAAATTGGGGATTTTTCGTCGGGCAAAGTTTTCCATAGCGCAGGTATTTGTATTATCCACAATGGTGTTGGACAACACAGCACATGTTTGTTACGTACTGTAATAAAAAAAAAGAATAACATTTAGGATTATTTTTCATTTTTCATCTTCGCTAAAAAGTTATTCTGACAAGTGTATAGTCACTACTGTATCTTATTCTGTCGTTCAAAAAAACTATGTTCGCCGGAGTGGTCATGTCGCCCTTTATGCATTTGCTAAGTGTCCTATCAATTGGGCTAATGGTTCTACTTTAAGGTGAACATACATACACACATACTTTCTTTTTTATGTAATAAAATAAATATTTAGGACATATTTTTACACAACATTCTGTAGTCCCAAACTAAGCAATTTACTATGGGTACTATATAACTGATAAACATACTTAATACTACTTTTTTGTAAATAAATACATATTATACACACAGAATACATATAAACCCCATGACACTAGAGAAACACTTTCCGATTATAACGTGAATAGGTTTTTACTGAGCTATCGCGCTTACCATCAACGGCTGCATCGCCACTTACCATCAATAGGGATGGCAGTAAAGTGCTGGCCATTTTTGAATTTGAAAAAAAAAACACTATGTTCATCACACAATATTTTAGTAGTGGGAATAGAATCCACACCATCCGGCGCAAAAGGTAGGCACACCACCCACTACGGGTTTATTCGGGTCTTCGATATGTATTATGTTATATTATGTCGAAATATAATATGTTGTAGATATGAGTCTTTACAATCGCGGCAAAAAATGAACCCACATATAGGGGATAACTTTTTAAAATTGTATTAAACATTAACATTCTTTAAACATCAATATTTACAGAGTTATTAAATTTTCCAAAACAAAGAGTTTTAGAACACCCTTACCTATAAAACTGTAACGTAAAGTTCATTTGTAAGAAAAATATTTTTTTTTAATTATGGATTTTGTTTAACGTTAATATTTTTTTATTGGCAAGTAGCGTTAGACGTGTGTTCATTTATTGTCGCGATGGTAATGAGACGCTGTATATTGATGTTATTTGTGAACTTTGGTTAACCGTTGTCGCTCACAGTTATGGAGGCTCACCGGTGCCCGACCAGCTGCGCGAGCTGGAGCGCGGCTGCCACCTGCTCGTGGCGACGCCCGGTCGGCTCGTGGACATGCTGGTGCGCGGGCGCGTCGCCCTGGACCACTGCCGCCACCTCGTGCTCGACGAGGCCGACCGCATGCTGGACATGGGCTTCGAGCCGCAGATACGCAAGATTGTCGAGTGCCACACCATGCCGAAGACCGGCGAGCGGCAGACGCTCATGTTCTCGGCCACATTCCCCAAGCAGATACAGGTGCTCGCGCAGGACTTCCTGCACAACTACGTGTTCCTGGCGGTCGGCCGTGTCGGTTCCACCTCCGAGAACATCACGCAGAAGGTGGGCTTGTTTATTTATTTAAGCTTTATTGCTACACCCTAAGCTAGGGGCTCTGTAATGGGCGGACTTAATGCCTAAGCCCTATAGTGGGTGTACTTTATGCCTAAGCCCTATGATGGGCGGACTTAATGCCTAAGCCCTATAATGGGCGGACGTAATGCCTAATGGCATTCTCTACCAGTGGGTTGGTTTGTTCTCTACCAGTCAGTGGGTTATGTTGCTCTTTTGATTTATTTTTGTCTGTATCAACAGAACTGTAACCTCCAGCTGCTAAAACATTTGAAAGATCAGATTGAAAAGTATATGCACTATAGAATGTTTGTTATAAGACAGACCAGGGTAAAAATTTTTGTTTTGTTTCAGGTGGTCTGGGTTGAGGAGTCACACAAACGTTCATTTTTGTTGGATCTGCTGAATGCCTCCAACCTGTTGCAACGTTCGCGTCCAGAGGAAGATCAGCTCACCCTTGTTTTCGTTGAAACTAAGAAGGGTTCGTACCATTTTTTGGTAGTTACTCATTTCTATAAATGATTATGACTTTATTTTAGTTATACAGCGTGTCGTTACCATCGCGGCAAAAAATGAACCCACATATAGGGGATAACTTTTTAAAGTTGTATTAAACATTTAAATTCGTTATTAAATTTTCCAAAACAAAGAATTTTAGAACACCCTTACCTATAAAAGCGTAACGTAAAGTTCATTTGTAAAGGTCACAAAGTATATGAATGGGTTGAATGAATTTAAAAGAGACAAAACATACTGTTAGAAGGAGAGGCTTGTAATACGACGCTGTGGCGCGAGTTGTGTAGGATGTTACAAATTTTGTTTCTTTTTTACTTAATTAGTTTGTTTGAAAATATTTTTTAATTATGGATTTTGTTTAACGTTAATAGTTTTTTATGATTATTGGCAAGTAGCGTTAGACGTGTGTTCATTTATTGTCGCGACGGTAACGACACGCTGTATACATATATGGTTAAATGAAACTATGGATTTTATTACATTTTAATTTAATTTATAAATTTCCGACGTTTCGAACACTTTGCAGCATCCATGGTCGCAGGACCATTAATATGTATACCTACAAATTAAAGAAGTAAATAGTTTTAATTTTGACACTCACAATTCACTATGGCTTTATAAATGAAATTAGATTGTAAATATGAAGTTCACAGTTAATTTGAGCATTATATTTAGGAGCGGACCAGTTGGAGGATTACTTGCACAGCGAGGGGTACCCAGTGACCTCTATCCATGGTGACAGAACGCAGCGCGAGCGCGAGGAGGCGCTTCGTCGCTTCCGCTCCGGCCAGACGCCCATTCTCGTGGCCACAGCGGTGGCAGCTAGAGGTGATCTAGCAACACAACTAATTTCTTTATGGCTTGTAACACATTTTGCATGTCCGTTTCGGAGTTATGGTAAAAGATTCAAGCTACTAGCTCATGCAAAGTTGTTTCGGTAAAATTGTATCAAATAGTAGTAGCAGTATCTTCTTGTCCATTGGATGGACAAGAAGGCAGAGATTCTGAGATGTCAAAAACGCGAGTTTATATAACCCTGTATTTTCAGTTTATTTAGTTTAGGTTATTAATTCAAAAAGTATTACACCATCTCTTAATTCCCTAAGTGTGTAACACACAATGTCTACTACAAGAGTTGATGTTACAGTTGATATTAACCATTGACATTCATTCTGGTCAATTTTTGGCAGAATGTTAGCCTATGGCAAACTGTGTTAGGGCCATGCATCAATCACTTCCTGCTGTGTCATGAACTAACCTGCTGCTGAGTCTTGGCCTGCAAGCAAGTTAGCTTAAATATATATATGTCACTTATGAATCGTTAAGAGAATGGTTGTTGAGAGAGAAGATAAAATAGAAATTATTGAATGCTTACATATTGAACTCTCTTAGGTTTGGACATACCTCACGTGCGCCACGTGATCAATTTCGATTTGCCGTCCGATGTTGAGGAGTACGTGCACCGCATCGGTCGTACGGGCCGTATGGGCAACCTCGGTGTTGCCACTTCCTTCTTCAACGACTCCAATCGCGGGCTGGCGCGCGATCTCGTCGAGCTGCTCGTTGAGGCTAAGCAGGATGTGCCCAAGTGAGTAAATTTATAACTTTTTCAATGGTCTCTCAAATTGATAGCCTCACTTATTGTTTATGAAGAACTATTTTTCATGAAGAACATACTTTTGGATTCATTGTTCACGATTCAGTGTTAATTGTCTACGATTTTTGTAATCTCTGTTTTTTTTAATGTGAGAAGTTAGCAAACGAACTGGTGGTTCATGTGCCCATTGACATTTGCAACATCCATAGAGTTGCAGATGCGTTGTTTATAATAAATTGGGTCCTGGCTACCTAACACACCAGAATCAGATGTATAAAACTTCCACTACACGCCGATCTTCTATTAGGTGGTACGTAGCCGGGCCGACATGCCCATTTGTGCTACAGAGAAGACTTGCGTGGCCGTAGCACTTTTAAAGGTAGTCGTAAGATCGCATTCATTTTAAGTACACGAATCAATGACACGACTTGCGCAGTTGGCTGACGAGCACGGCGGCGGATGGACGTCTCGGTGGCGGCGGCAGGCGCGCGGGCAGCCGCTCGGGCGGCGGCCGCTTCGGGGGCAGCGGCGCCGGCTTCGGCGCGCGCGATTTCCGTACTCAGCCGCGCCAGCCGCCTCGCTCCGCTGGGCCCTCCTCCATGGGCGGCTCTGGTAACGCCTCCCTCTTATTTGACCCACACCTCTCGTGCATTGCTTATTGGCTTTTTCCACTTTCTGTTTTCCCCAGTAAGCTTCGAGTTGTCTACGTTTAGCTTAAGCAGCTAAATATGTATATTCTTCAGTATATATTATTTAACGACTGTGCATTTTGACTATTTACATTGAAATTGATTATCTTCATATATAAATTACGTGTACATAATTTACGTTTAAAGTTAGTAATAATCGTTACGTTAGAAGTTATACTTCTTTGGCGTAACAATATAAAAATCTTTTCAAAAACTTTATCGTACGCCTTATTCTACGTTTGTAGAAAAAACGACACTAACAATAGAAAAAAGGTATTTCATACATCGAAAGTTGTATTATAACGTATTATCTAGTTAAATCAAGTTAAATATCACAAAATAAATATTGTGAATACAGTTGTCAGTTTTCACGCAAACATACGTAGATGTCTAGCTAACTTCAGGGTGTCGGTTTTTCGGGATGGTGTGCGCGCGCATCGTAAAAATTTACTCTCATCATTTTTCCCTAACGCGCCAAAAGAAGTATAACTTCAAAAATTAGCTTCCATTTGTTTGGGTCCATAACACTCAACTAGTCCATGCATTGACTTCATATTTGTTCACAAAATAGCTATTGAACAGGACAGTGTTTTTATATACTTTTTAGTTCCAACAGAAAGGAATAAATAAAAAAGACACAGAGAAGCATGGCCTAGTGTATCTAGTGAAACAATACCATTAATTGAAATTATTTCAAGCTCTTTCTCATGTTTTACCCGACTTTCATTAAGGTTTCCAAGTACGAAGCTAATTTATAAGAAAGTATTGTATATATTCTGCTTTGTCTGAATATTCCTGTGTCAAGATTGAACTCTGGCATGATTGTATCGTAGCAACAGACACCTACGTATATAATGCTGATATTCGGACACCGTCTACCAGGCGACCTTCAAACTCAAATTGGCCCGTCGACAGGTTTCGGGTACGGCGGCGGCAACTACGGCGGCTCTTACGGTGGCGGCGGCGGCGGCGGCGGCGGCGGCGGCGGTGGCGGCGGCCAAGACTGGTGGGACTCGTAAGCCGCACGCTACACGCCGCACCGCCCGCGCCCGCACGCGTTCACCACCAGCGGCCGTCGACCGCAGCCCGCTCGATATGGCCCTCCAATCGATCCGCTCTCACCTGGCCAGCCCCGAGCGATGCGGTGCGACGGAAGCGCGCGCGTGTTTTGGCCTTGCGGGCGTCGAATCTCCCCCGCATTGATTGTTCTCTTTTTTAAATATCGATATCGTCTCCTATTCCCCCCCCCCCCCCCCACCTGCGATTCGCAAACGGAACGCGGGCCCGTGTCCTCCGCGCACGTATTTTGTAATTTCTTTTCTCAGTGATGATTATGTGAGAGTAGACAATTAATATAGAAATATTTTTGATGTTTGGTCTGTATCGTGGATTCGTTAACGGATGATGTAACTCGTGTCTTCGATTTTAATGTGTATCCTATCTATTTTCCGACGGTCGCCCACCTCTCGCGCGCGGCCATTGGAATTTTGAAGCATTTATGCACTCTTAAAATTGTAGCTGTCGAATGCAGTAGTAATAGATTTTGTGAAGTACCGATACAGTATCATAGTGGATAATACCTAAATTTTGTCAGTAGATGTCCCATTATTGTAACAGCCACCAATAACATGGTCAATAATTTGAATGTGAATTTACCAATAAAAATTAAGAATCAGTGTCCTGTGTTTTTTTATTTACCACTATCCTTTCATTCCAAAATTCGGCTTCACTGTTACTCACCAATGCAGGCTCAATTTTGAATTGTCCTCATTTTTGAAATTAAGATAAAGTAAGTTTTAAATTAAACTGATTATATAAAAATGCCAATGTCCCTATAAAACCTTGCAATTCTCATCTAAATACGAATAGATTGTTCACTCTTGCTAATAATTAGACGGATTTGGCGTTAAAAAAGGACTTCCCTCTATCTATCATCCATGCCTACCCTTCTATGAAAGTGGTGGGAGGGAATCGTATGTGAAACTGGTGAATACTCTTATATCACGGCTAATGGAGGAAAATGGAAGAGGACGTCTGCCCCCATCTAGAGTGGGACCAGAGAAAAAAACGAATTTCCAAAAGTTTACATCTACTAAATTAGTTTGGGAGTACACAATGAATGTTTTTTTACCAATTAATGCGCTCCTTGGACGGAGTCCTCCGGAATAAGGACGGTTGTAACTAATACGGCTCAGAGACTAAATGTGAGTCGTCCGAGTCTAGACATGGCGAAGCTATCGATCGAAGAGACGGATTCCGTCAACAGAAGATCTGGTTCGAGAAGAAAAAACAATGTACCGAGTTGCGAGATGATGTTTTCCGTGTTTATGTTGATCTCTTGCATCCATGGTATTCCCTAATTTGAATTTTTTATTTACTCTATTTTTATTATTTACCCTATTTTTTGGCTCTTAAATACTACTTACCAGTGGATTTACAATGTCCTGGCGAGTATCACGAGTATCAATGATTTTAGAAAACCACTTAGGACTTGTAAGTGTACTTTAAACGTTTTATTGATAAAAAGACCCGAAAAACTTTGGATATCATTTATGTGACCTGTTATGTTATCATCAATCACTTACGGCCGGTTTAAATATTCTATCTACAGATAGATTTGGTTGCTGGAGATAGAATTTTGACGTAAGTATTATGGAGCTAATGTCAAATACCTATCGCTAGTAAGCAAATCAATCTATTGATAGAAATTATAAAACCAGCCTTTAGAGAAATTAGTAATTTATTTTAGAGCATACCCTGTCTGAAATTTCTGTGCACGCTACTGAGTTTAAAAGTGTGACATTTCTGTCGGAAGAATAATGGTTGTAAGTCTCGGCAAATTGGTTAAAATTGGCTAAGCCTTAGTCAACAATATTTCTATGCGCACACCAGCTCTCCACCAGGCTATCGGAGTAACAAGAAGACATTTTGCAGAACAATTGCTTTAATTAAACTCATGTTCGGATTTGTGTTCTAAATGACAAAAGCTCTCCCCCAATATGACCATATTACATAATATATGTAATTTCCATGCAGCTGTTTTGACTATGAACTAAATGTGTCCCAAGAAGTTTCAGAAAGAACTTCAATTAATAACTAAAGGCGTTGTATATATTGCACAGATGTATTTTGAAAGAAGCCAAGGTGAATGGCTCCTCCCTCCTCCTTTTTGGTCAACTGTCATGATTGACATTCCCCCAATGTACAATGCAGCAAAAAATATTTATCATAATCGTCCTATTGACTTAAGAGAAACGTCATAATGTTTTGTAATGCAGTTTTGCTACTAGCATACCATAATTCTCCAAACGCTGATGATCAGTATTTGAATACAATTGGCATACTCTAATGAGTTTTCAGCTTCTCAGTTTTATTTAAGTCAGAGATCACGTTTAAGACTTAAAGACTTTAAAGATTTTTCGACAGAACTAGCACTCGCTGCGTTAGCAGCATTAGTATATAAAATATACTAATTGTTTTTATTTTCATCAATATTTTATCCGCGAATCGTCAAGGAAATTCTTTACGTAGTTCAGCGAATAGCCGCGTTTACAATGGCGTTTATTCGACACAAAGCTGTCCTTCACCGCGTCTCTTCAATTTTCATCATTATTAATTTATCTCATCGATTACATCCGTAATGGCCAACGGCTTATTGAATGCGTCTTTTTGTGGCGCCTTTTTATTTGGAGATCGCGTCTAGAGCGGGCGGGACCCCGTCGCGAAGGCATCTACGGAATGCCTAAAAGGTGACTCGTGGATAAATTACGGGCATTTCTTCCATTTTAACGATTCCCTTTATTTTTTAATTTATTTTTATTTTATGTTACACATTTGCCTTGTAACAATGTTTGTTTTTCGGGTTTCATTAGCATAAGGCTCATGCTGGGGTGGAAAAAAAAAATGGACTCGCATCAATTTTGATTTCCCGATAGACTTAATCTTATGACGTCTGCTATCCGTTAAGGGCTACACGTGTCTAATAAAAGAAATAGCGGGATGTCTCAATTTGATAGTAATTTGTTGGTTTTTATCGCATCTCGCTTGTGACATAATAAAACAATTAATTTATTATCGCCATGTGAGATGATTTCGATCAATTTATCGACGGCGCGCGCGGCTGGACTTTAATAGTTTTATGTAATAAGTAATTTTTATTAATTGCTCTTTGATGAAGTAGATGAGGCGTTCGTTAACGTTAATCGTGAATGTAGGGTTCCTTATAAAATTTCAATTGTAAAATGTAAGGAATAATTGTACACGAAAAAATTGTAAGGAAAACACAACATAAGAAGATAAAACTAAAAATATTTCATGCTGCGAATTTATTCATAATACACCCTTAATTTGTAACCAAATGTTTATACTGTTAGTTTAACTTTGTTAATATGTTTTTTTTAAACATAACCTTTTCTCAAAGTTAACTTTTATAGAAAAGGCAATGGTAGTTAAACATTATATTTACAAAACAGGTAAATGTAGATTTATTGGTTACGGATAATAAATGCATCAATACAATAATTAACGCGATTCGATTAGAACTACCTAATTCGATTTTGTACGATTATTAAATGGAAATCCTTTACGGGTCTCGGGACACTGAAAAGGAAATAAAAGCGGCCGGTGATCTTTCTTGCGGCTGTTTAATCGTCGTGATTAGGAATGAGATAGCATCGTTGGTTTGATTTATAATGAGCCGCCTGACGCCGTCGCGTCGGCCCGCGCTTTTGGGTCTGTATGGTCGATTTGTCAAGTATGCGTTGTTCAAATCAAGCAAGATGGTTATTAAAAGCTTTACTAAAGGTTCACTTACAGAGTTGCTGCTATTGGATAGTTTTTATTCTTAGCCACGTTATTCATGCCAGATTTTGCCAAGTAAGTGAAAACAGAAACAAAACGAATTATATAAATATGTTTCTCTCCGTAATGCGAAGTAGGCGTTTCGAACTTAATACAAATTTTGCCTTCTATATCTAAACATGCAAATTGTGGGTCCTTTCGTTACAGATCTTGCCAAACTGAGTTATTGTTTTGATTCTATGAGCAATTAGAACATTTTTTTAGATAAAAATGTAAGATGTGACTGATTAATTAGGACATTGTGCGTGTTAAAAATAAAATTTAAAAAATAAATAATTCCGGGACCAGGTAACGGTAATGAGATATACCCAGTTTAATTCATTTAGCACCTGCCATCTACTTTTAACCATGACAAGGGTTGACTGATGCCATTAGGCATTAAGTCCGCCCATTGTAGCCCTTAGCTTAAAGTGTAGCAATGAAGTTTAAATAAATAAATAAAAAAAATTCTTTCAAGATCTTAACTTTATGTAAACCACACATATTTAAATCATACTCTACTGACTCAAATACAATTCATTAATGCAATGTAACAGCCGTCTTCTGACATCTGTATATTATATTAAAACGTGAAGCAAAAACTTTGTACCCCTTTTTACGCAAAACGCGCGGACGTATAGTTTATATAGGGAAGAGTGCAGATTGCTAATATTTTTTTAGATTATGCACAAAAAATACATTATATCTATTAAAAAAAACATTACACACACTACCATGCATTTAATTTTGGTCGAATATCGACCACTAGGCGACAACTAATATTAGATAATTATTGTCAATGAATACAAGACGGCGGCGCAGTTCCTAAACTATCGGCTTCGGCGCCAGGGCTCGTGGTCTCGATACCCACACGTTAATTATTTATTCCATAGGAACGTGCGGCCGGCCGGTGGTATAAAAACCATGCCAAATCCAAGACAATAATAACAACATGATTTACATGTTGTGCCGTCCCCACATAAGGGCAGAGAAACGAGAGACTACTTTCGTAACTACGTAAATATAAGAGATTTTCACGCGGCCCCACTGCGGATAGGCAGTTTTCATATATTTAAAAAAAAAATTTCTTTTTGTTATTTGGAAAGTATGCCGTTCCCCCGAATGTTTTCCTTCACCGCTTGTGTGATAAATCAGTACTTAAAATTGCAATTAACGATTTAATCGGTGCCGGCACCGGGGACAGAACTCAGAGTGCTTCCAGTCACTGACCTATCACGGCTAATAAAAGTAATGGCGAAAAAACGCGTCAACTAGTTTTATTAAAATGCCCAATTGCGCTTATTTCGCGTGTTAATAACTTCAAAACAATTTTAACTCAGAAATGCTGAATTAATTCTGACGAAAATTGTTTTTCGTCAGAATTAATTCAAGTAAAGCATTGATTCGTGACTGCACCGCATAATGCCGTGGCCGGATCTTTTCGACAACGGTGCTGCATAATAAAATGAATTATTAAAGTATACGGGTCAGTTCGAGATCGATTAAAGTTGTGGTATCTGATTAAACCGTGGCTTTTGTTTTATGGCACATTATTTGATCCTTTGCATTAGCTAAGTAAAACGGAAAAGTATTTATATTACCATTTCTCGTAGCATTATGAATGATAATTTATGGTTCATCGTAATGAGACCATAAATGACAAGTTCCTGACAATTGAAAACGATAGAACCCTTAAAAATTGTTTCATGTAATGATTTGTATGATAACACAAACATTCTTACACAACGTTCTCTAGTCCCAAACTAACGCAAGTATAAGATTAAGAAGTATAGTAAGAATAAGTAACTTAGTTACTCAATATAGGCTTATTGTAAGCTCTTATTGAACTTCAAACCACCTTGTACTATGGGTATCAGATAATCTTCTTTAATCAAAAAATCTTTTGTAAATAATACATACTATGGATATAAACACCGAGTACAATATTTACATTTTTATATATTTTAGCGGGTTTGATGTACTGTTCAGAAAGACTAAAAGTGAACGTGGCCGTTAATAGAGAAGAAACACTAGATACGTAAAGAGATATAAAAAGATTTTGTTTCTTAGATTCCTTACCTATGGTACATATCGTGTCTGATATTATAAACCATTCGTCAACTGTGGCCAGCACCACCTGTCATTGAAGTTCATTTTACCATTTTATAGCAATATGTATAAATTATAAAATAATATTTGAAAACGAATCAAAATATATTGAAAAACATTTAAGTTTATAAGTTATATATTTAATGCCTTATAAATGGGTAGTGGCACTTTTTCTTTATTTGTTTCATAGACAATATCGTTTGTAGTTTTTTTTAATTCTTACAATAAATGGTGAAACTTTTTGTTTCCTTACGCCAGTGTATACTATTGGTTGTAAATTATTCTTGCGTGCGTTTTGTAAATGTTATTTATGACGACTATTAACGAGGCCGTAAAGTTTTTTCGTCTCATGAATTCATCTCCTTTGTCACCTGTTTTGAATTTTTATTACAAAACCTAACAATAAAGTTACGTCATTGTTTTAACAACCCTTGTTCTTAAGTGCTTAACAAAATATAGGTAATGTTTTATTAAAGTATAAAACAAGACGCAAGAGGAAGACATTGGTCACCTGTCTGATGATCCTTATCTTAATAATTGTTTAGCAGTGGACTCGAATAGACGGTTATGATGATGTTTGTCAGCGATTATTTAGTGTTGTAGTCAAACTTGTGATCTCGTGGTTGCAAGTTCTAATTCCAGAGGCATGTACAGGCAGTACAAGGCTTACCTGTGACATTAAGGGTTTAATAATCACGATGACCCTTGAATATGTGAAAAAAAATGTTTTCGATGTACAATAACATAATTAGTATAATAATTATAATATATTTTTATTGTAAAAAAAATAATATTTCTAGCCCTAGACCATTATATAATCTTTTGCTATTTAAGGATAATCGACTGGTGACGCCTTAAAACAGATTTTCTTTTCGATTTTTAGTTTTATGAATATTATTACGCATCTATTTAGACTTATGTGAAATATGTAGAGTCATTCAAGTATCCTTTACCGGTAACAAATTGAGTTGTTATAGTACATCTGCGGGCTGGCTCTTGTATGAGACTTTGCGAGATCATTCTATCAACTTCCAGGAGATCTATTGTCGTTTAGGCAACGTACAGTGATTTATTACTTATTTCAGGGCCACGGCGTACGGTCACGGTGGGCTAATGCTTTTCTTTCAGTCATTTCGCATAAAGAATGTTTCCTAAACAAGACGTCGGATGCGTACATTGTTCGACGCGCCATATTGTAGTCTGGCACTGTTCATTGTGCACGCTTTGCTCCTAAATAAAAGAGCGTTACATTCAATTCCGACGCATTTGATTTTCGGTGACAGATTTGTCGAGTTCTTCTAACTGTAGGAAAGCAGGCATTTTATTGTTTCATACACTATTGCTTGTATTTATTTTTTGTCCCTTTTTTTCTGACTACATAGAATTAGGGAGTGATTTGTAATTTATGAAGCTAATTACGTGTTTGAATTGTATGTGAACTTGAAAGTTTTACTTTTATTACATTTACAGTAGCGCAGTAAACCTAAATTTATTGACATATGTATAATTTTAAGTGTATAATTTTTATAATGACTATAATTATGAAACTGTGGAGGGCCACGCAACAGTCGTCGCTGTTCCATGAATATGCAGGTTCGTCCTGGGAAGTATCAAAACCTCACAGAAGACCGGCGTGAACTGGAAGAGTTATACTTCTGCGTTTCGTCTGGTGAGCGAGGTAACCGGAACCCACTTTATTAAAAGGTGGCAACGCATCTGCAACCCAAGGGGTATTGCAAATGTCAATGGACTGCGATTATCACTTGAAATCAGGTGAACGGCAAGTTCGCTTGCCATCTTCTCATATTAAAAAAATACATTTATGAATGTACTACGTTGCGCACTAAAGTTTATTGTTTTAGTTCGGTATAAAATAAGGCAGTAATTTCGCAGTGTAGAAGTCTGAAAGCCGAAGCGATTCATCCATGCTGCGACTCAACTAATGCGACTCAAACTGACTGATAATATCAATCTTCCATTCTTGATCTAAGAATATAAGTCAAGACAATCGGTATAGAGTCGTTAAAAATATTTGTACACTTTAAATGTAATAAATCAATAATCTATAATAAATCAACAGGTGTAATACAGTGATGATCTGTCTTCGGAGAAGTGAATAGAAGATTGGAATAGATGCATTTGAAGTGGAAAAGAATTGAAGGATTTATTTCTATATAAATGTTTTGAAAACATAATAATGATCAATTAGAAAAAATATCAAAACTCGAGGTCTACTATTTGGGTAGAGTATGACCTGGGTTGAATTGGTCTAGGAATTTATTGAGCATATATCACAGAAGACCGATTTGAAGTAAAAGGATTTATTTTATTGAATTAGATCAGATTTTATGCTTCGAAGTAAACACTGGAAATTTTTACTTACTTTTCACATAAAAAATGTGCAAAAGATATTAAGTTCATTTAGATACAATAGTTAAACGGACTATTTAATTGAATGTCTTACCATAGGTAAGGCCACCCAGCAGCCCCTGCTGTTGCATGAATGGGCGGGCTCGTCTGGGAAAGTACCATGGCCTCACAGAAGACCGGCGTGAAGTGGAAGTATATACTCTCGTGTTTCGTGTCTTGAGTGACATAACCGGGACCCACGTTTTAACTTAACATCAGGTGAACCGCATGTTCGCTTTTCAACTATAAAAAAAACTGGCTCATTCGCCAATCTCTTTTGGCAAACACAAAAGGGCTTGCCCGTTAGCAGCTGCGTTAAACGACTGCCCCAATATAATGACGAGTGAAGAGTCGTCGATGGCGGAGTGCCTCGGTCTCCGCGGTCGGTCCGGACCGCACGCCGCGGTCTCCCGCAGCCGCACGCGCCGCCACTTCGCGTTCAAGAGCGCGGCTTTGCTCCCAAGTGGGCTGACGATTTCACCGAGTGTCACCGCACAACCCCGTGGCATGATAGACGATCGTATACTATCAGGTGAAAACTTAATTACTTCGAATAACCCACAAAAAGCCGTCACCGGTTCTCAAGAGATGTTCAAAATTTTGTATTATGTTCTTATTTTAATTTTTTTTAAGTTATTACTTGTACAAATAAATTCTCTTTTCAGATTTGTAATACTTATCAGTTTATTACGTACTATCATTTATAGGAGCGACCTTTTTAAATAAATTTCTGGATATCCGTGAGGCCTTCGACCAGTCAGACTATAGCTACCGATCGAGCCGAGGTCCGGCCCTCTAAGTCACCCTCTAATCGGAATGTTAAACGTGTACTGAGTACAGCCCAAGCCGATGCTAATTATAATAGCGTGACGGCCCGATCCGAGGCTCCCTCGGGAGACATTGAGCTTAGTCACTCGTAACTGAGGTTCAGGCTAGGGGCCCACAGCGCCCGGCCACCTAAAGCTTGGTGGATCTGTAAAGGCCTCCCAAGGCTAACAGTGGTAGATCCTCCCAAAAAATGGCCTCATCATTTCCTCAGAACAGTCCATTCGTACGACAGCAGAAGTTGCTGCATGTAGCGTTACAAATTAATACTCATCTCATGCATGAAAATGTTATAAAGTGTTTGTAAACATTTTATAAAGCCAGGATGTATGAATATTTTGCAATAAACTAGAGGTAAGCCGGTTGCTAATAAAATTACATTAAACAAACTGCACATTTTTGCGTTAAAGTCGCGGTGAACATTTTTTTTTTTTTGATTTTATTATTTTACATCTTTTACAAAAGGAACAAGCTGCTTTAAAATGTTGTCGTTTATAAAAAAATTGGTAGGCGAATATGAACACATTTTTAGGAGACCATAAATAAATACACGAGTTCCGCTTTATTAATTTGGCTTAGATTTGATATCTAAATCTGGAAACATTTAATCATGTAACAGGCGACTAGAAATGTCAAGGCTACTGCGACAATAATAACTTTAATATTATTCAATTAACACCTGCCTCTATTTTGCATATTACAATTGCCCGTTGTTTTGATTAAAAACATCTGTTAAGTTAACAAGCTACGAGTAAATTAGTCAATATGGCAGGTCCTAAGAAAGGTTTTTGTTATAATTAATTAATATGATATTATTTTATGGTTGTCATAGTGATAAACGTCCGGTGAAGTAAAAAATGTCAATAGTGTAAGAATCGCAAACAATACTCGATGAGAAACTAGTCGACAAATATATCACTTAAGTACATAAGTCGAATTAATACCAGCTCGTTATGAATGTGATGAAGTACATTCGAGGCGAAAATCTTAATTGCGGACCAGTTCTGGGGTGGGGAATAAAGTGGGCGGTACCGACTGTACTACGCCCATGGATCCGCCCAACCATGGTAATAATTTTGTACGCCTGGTATATACTTGTTGAGATTAAACTTAATCATATAGAGTTCTATTAGGTATACAAGAATAACTTCTGTTCGTAAAACTTCTTTGATCAACAGATGGCATGACAGAAACTAATAGGGTTTTTTTTTTTAAGTTTCAGTTTTTCTCTTATAAAAGTTTATATTTAAAGACAAGTTATTTGCTCAGTTTTAAATGCAAAGATACATGGATTTCGATAAATCACACGGAACCCCAAAGTTATGGGTTGCTAAAAAGCTGTGACGGATCCTTAAATATCTAAAATTGAACAGCTTATATAAGCCGTTTAGCTCATTGGCTAGAGCGTCAGGCCGCGAATGCCGAAGACGTGGGTTCGATTCCCACAGCGGCGACAATCTTTTCGCACTTTTTCTACATATTTTAATGTTCAATCTTAAGTGCAAAGATTAGCACTATAAACAATTTAAATATCTAAAATTGCTTCATGAAACTGTGGTATGATGTAGATGAATAATTATTACACAAATAATTTGTTACCTATTTCATTTCAGTTAAGAACAAAAATACTTAAAAATATATCAAAAAAGTAGGTAGGTACATATCGAAGTTCATAAAAAATCAGCTTTTTGTCATTTGATATTATTATTACTATTTTGTATTTCTTGCCTGTATAACTTTATAAGACGATGTCTGAGTTTAATCATTCTTCGTAGATGGAGCTGGAAAGCGTCGGCAAACATATCTCCCAATCTCATCCCGTACATATTCTATAGGATTTAAATCTGGGCTGCGAACTAGCCACGCCGTACAGGTAATAACAACGTCTTGATTACACGCATTGACCAAAAAATCACTATGGGCTCGCCCATTGTCATGCATAAAAATTTGCACTCATATTTAACAACAGTTCAGCATTTAAAATTTCCTATACGTATCTGAGAGCTGTCAGATATCTATTTTATATCACCAATAACTCCTATGACGATATTATAAGATATTTATCATCGTTACTCCACCGAAAGGCACCTTTTCTTCAAAACACGCGCAACCTGGCAACTCGATGCAACCTAGCAACTCGATGTTCCCTAAGAAGGTTGGGGGCATTTTCTGGCATATAAGACTTTTCACCAGCTCCACGATGTCGACGTAGAATCTTGTCGTATTAACTTTTCTATTTTTCACTTTAACTTTGAAAGATATCACGATATTTCTATGATTCGTAATTTTTGCGACCAAAATGAAATCGTTCAATTATCGGGAATATTTATATTGGACGTGTGATATCTTAGGTTCCAAAGTTGGACAGTACCTGAAAATAAGGGCTTAAAGGGGGTGTTATTATATGGCACGATTTGTTATCGATTTAAATTTGTCATTAATATAAAATACAAAGACATGTATGATTCATTCCAATGTTTTACGATAACATTTTAAAATTATTTACATTATACTATACCGCTTATCCGTTTCTTTATCGATTCTTTATGTATCAAAAGAAGTTTAGAGATTTTTTTTCCATCACAAAATATCGGATTCATTACAGAAATGCTGTTCGAATTTTCTTTTATTTACTTATACAAAAGAAATGTACCAACAAAGGAAAATATACAAGTATTAATTATGTCGAAGGCGGTTCCGTATCACAGCATTTGTTCCGCATCCAATCCGACCTCGTAACTGGGTTCTCCACCCTCGTGGCGGATTCCACTCCCATGGAACCCCGATTATTGCTAAATAATACAGAGGTGAAAATAGGATAACGAATGCGCGTAATTGATGGGCCTTCGCGTATTATAAATTGTCGAGGTGCGATATTTATGGACGCAATTATCTCCCCCGCTCTCTACTTGTGTATCCACGGAATCCACGAGGGCGGTGTTTTGTTAGAAATGATTGTTTTTTTTTTTATAAAAACAGTCCTTTGATTGGATCTTGGCTGTATATATTTATCAATCGTCAACAATTACAATCAAGATTGCCTTAAACAATGCAATCATTACACGTTTGACAATGTTTAAACAATCTTTCATATCATTATCACCAACATCTCTTGTAACTTCATAATGAATAAGACCGCTATACTACGTCATGAGCGTATTGACTGAGAATGAGAAGAATTTTTAGATAGTATAAAACAAAATCGCTTCTGCTGTTTGTACACTTAGATCTTTTAAATTACGCATCGAATTTTAATGCAGTTTTCTGCAACAGATAAAGTATTTCAAGAGGAATTTTTATATGTACTATACATGCATTTTATAGTAGAGAAAAGCCGAGAAATTCGATGATCTGGAATGTGATGTCGTAACAAACATTTTGCGCTTATATTGTTGACTAAACCTTATAAATGTTTATTTATAGGTACATGTAGAACAAAATTTCCGTTTACAGTATATCATTAAAATGAACATCTCAGAAAAAAAGAGAGTAATTTCGAATGAAAACATGGTTGGCATTATCTCATGAAAAAACAACTGTAAATATTGTATATAATATTGTCCTTTAGTATAGACTAATCATATTTATAAAATTATTAATCACTCCCCGCTGCCTCATTAATATCTACATTGCACACGTGCGAAGTCGGGGCGGGTCGCTAGTATTATTATATTCGAAGTCCATGTACATAATCATTCGTGACGATGACATCCTTTAGCTTCTAGACTGCTTTACCGATCGAGGTCACATAACAGTTGTTTACTAGTATTCAACGCCACCTTGTGGAAATATAATCCTAAAAATTGATTGTATTGTATTGACTGATGTTTTTGCTTTCAGTCCCGAGACTGAAAGCAGAAATTATTTATGAGATAGAACGAAATCTGCTTTACCAGTTAGTCAATAAAATAATGTTTTAGAAAACCCATAGTAAAGGTTTCCCGCTTTAAGGGCAACACGTTTGACTGTGAATAAAGTCGTTGGCAAGTGTTTGGACCTATTTGAATCTTTTTAACGTATAAATTTTTACAGGATTTTCTTTATCCTTTCTTTTATGCGACATGGTCACCACCTGTGATGATTTGGGGTGTAATAAAATGCATATACAGTTGACAGAAGTAGGTATTTCTGTTTACCCCGTCAAGGTAAAAAAGGAAAGCGTTTGTTTTAAATTAAAAACTTACGTTACACTTAAATTATTCTTCAAGTTTTGTTGAAACCATGCTAGAGTAGTTCCAACCCTTACAATTAAAAATTGAAGATTAGATGGTCTTCTAATGTGATTGTCTTAATCTATGATTACTGCCAAACAGATAAAATAACAACAAACAGGCTATGTGCAGCTGCAGTCTAATACCCTCATAAAACTTGAACAATAAGAATAACAACATAGTTATTAATTTTACTGTGGTAGAGTCATATCAGGCGATTTACCACGGTGACACATAAGGCATAAGAAAAGTTGAACTTTTACATTACATATGCTGAGTGTGGAGTTGACTCTTCTAGAGATTGTCATTGCACCGGAGTATTGATGTATGGCGGTGGTAATCAATTAACATTTTTCACTGCCTTACAGAAACGCGACCGTCAGTAATTGATAATATTATCGTTTTAAGCAGCGGTAATCAGTAAAAGCAAGAGACGCTACAGTTTTCTATATCACAGGTTTCCAGAATAAAAAACTAAACTCGTTCTATTAGTTTGGTTTGCCATTGCTAAATAATTTGGAAATTCGTTAGGGTAGAAAATGAATGATTCCAATGAATTGTTAATTCCATTGTCACATATTTCATCAAAAAAAATCTATAGTTTATAGTACTATTTTTTTATGTGGGGAAGTGG